TTCTACAATAAAATTAACATATTGTTTTAAAAAGCAAACGAACAGTTAGTCAATTAAACAAATAAATTAATATCAAATATCTTTAATAATTGATATTTTGCCTGACCATCCATTCTCCTTCAAAAACTATCGTTTCCTAAGGATGGATATTCTTTGTCCTCTTCTTTCCCTCATTATTCTTTATCTTCTCCTCTCTCTCTCCATTTTGAATCTTACCGTGGCATGTCATCTTTGTCGGGTCGGGTATCCACCCTGCATTCTCCTCACAGTAGGTGATGTTAGTTCCTCTAGCTGTATACATGACGTCATCGGGGCATGAAAGCATCACCTCGGCGTAGGCGGCGTAACTCTGTTGATTTGGAGAAAGCTGGACGGTCTTCGGATCCGATACGGGCGGAGCAGAACAATCTGATTTAATGAGGAAAAAATGAAGACAACAGAGATTAATAAGCACGGGTGTTAATATAATCGGCCAGTAATAATCATACCTAGATCTTTAGCCAGACACGTGAGACTTCAGCGTCTGTGATTCACGTGAAAGGGGGCAGAAGAATAACTTTAAATTTGAAAAAAAATAATTGTTGAAATTCACACTATCATAACGTAGATGTAATTATGTAACTATGTATTTTAAAAGAACTATACCTTGTATAGATTGTAATATACGGGTAAGATAGAGAACGTAGATAAACGGAATTTAATTATAATAAAGAGGAGATAGTAGGGAGCGATTTACAAATTAAACAAAAAAGAGAAGCTGAATGAGGGAAAGCGAGAAAGAAAATAGAGAGAAAAAAGAAGCACAGATAATAATGTACAGAGTAAGAGAGAGAGAGAGAGAGAGAGAGAGACAGAGAAAGATAGAACGAGAGAGAAAGACAGAGAAATATAGAAACAGAGAGAGAGAGACAGAGAGAGAGAGACAAACAGAGATAGAAATACATGTAATGTAATAAAACTCTTACGATTGCAAGTAGGCATCTTTGCAGGTTCCCAGAATCCATTTTTGCATGTCGCCTGAGTTGGTCCTACGAGAGTGGCACCCTTTCCCTCTGCGCATGCGTACTGAATTACATCTTCATCATTGTACACAGTTTTAGTAGCTTCCGGGTCACGACCGAACGGGAAATGAACAATGTTTCGCCCTGCTTCGGGTTCTTTACATTGAGCTGCATTTTGAAGTATTTTGAAGAAAAAAATGAAAGATGAACACGCATTACATAATATTGAACTTGCATTTCACATGTACAGAAAAATATTGCACACACATCATGCTTTAACAAATTTATGTGATAACGATAATTCTGTGGTTTTTGATAACATTTTAAAGATAAATCACCATTATCTTTGCTCTTAAAGTTTAGTCTAGCTTTTAAATAACCCTACCTTTAATTCACAATGCTTCCAGCTGTAGCATGAGTATCTTAATTCACCTTTATTTACTGGTTATCGCAGTATCCTATCTCCTCCCCCTCTCGCCTTTTTTTTTTCTCTCTCTCTCTCTCCCATTCTTTCTCTCACTCTCTCCCTCTCTCTCTTTATTTATAAATATATATATTTACATATCCATATACATGCATACCTTTCTTTTCTTTCACTATGTTCATATGCTAATTTCGCTACGTATATAACTTTCCATACCTAAACACGCGAGTCCATCTGGTCTTGGGTCCCATACACCAGATTCAATACAATACGAGTATTCAGTTCCAGAGTGGGAATACCCCTCCTCACAGGAAAATGTAACACGTGACCAAAGAAGGTATACCGATTGGCTAGGTGTGGTGATGACGTTTGCAAGCTCGGATGGTGGACCACATTCTAAAGGAAAAAAAAGTGAAAAGCGGTACACCTTTAGACATCAGAAAGCAGGAATATAATACTGTGCCATTCTTGTTGGGCAAAATCTTGATTTGTCTCTTACCCGAATCCTTTACAACCCATAATTCAGTTTTAGGCTTTAGCACTTGAAGCATGTGTGGTGTGGAACGAGCAGATTTTTGAAATGTATAGGATAGTGGTAAAAAATAAAACACCACTGAAAGGTGACAGATATTTATGCATTATGCTATTGTTCAAGGTGCAGAGAAAATAACATCAATTCGTTCTAAAGCAAATTACGAATTGTATGATAATGTGTAACCTTGACGTATAAAATAATTCTTTATCCACAGTACGCTACATATGTATGGCAGGCTCCTGTGTGAATGCCTTAATACACCCTATACGCCGACGAGCAGTTTGAACAAGATACCAACTCCAAATACATTACGCAGCGTACATCATTGATTCAAATCATTGCACATAATTCTCATTTTGAATCGGGTGATGCAAGATAAAATCATAGCTTAGAAATATATAAATTTATAGAAAACACTATGGCTCTTACCTGGTACCGGCGATCCAAATGCAACCGATATCAAAACGAAGAAGTACAATAGTTTCCGTTCCATCTTGGGTAATGCTTCGACAATAGTGTTACACTGCTCTTCGCAAAATAAAATTTATCGTCTGATTAATGTATTTCCTAGAGACGCAAGAAAAGGTTTAAAGGTCGAAAAGCCGGATGTTTCCTTACACAGTTTGTATTGCTGGGTGTATAAAAATATCGAACAAAAACAGCACGCTGTAAGAGTTAAACTCATTGATTAATGGTTAACGCTGCTACAAACAAAATTAAGATCGAAGTCAGAGCGAAGATCAACCTGTCTCACCTAAGTGTTGATTTTCCTGATGCTTATCTTTGTAGGATCGTTGTTTGCTCTGTCGAGTGACGTGGATCGTTTGCATTCTTTGTTACAAGTTATCTATCATTGCAGAATCTCAAACAATAGTAAGACTTTGACTTATTGGTTGAAGATGAAGTTGAAGTTTATTTGTTCCTCATTTGCACCAAAAAACAATTCACTTTTGTTTTACAATCGTATAAAGCGTAGATTGCAAAATAATTTAAAGATTTCAAATCAAGTATAATGTATGGATAAATAGGTACGAAGTTTCAAAATATATAGATATGACAGGCAAGGTAATACAATGTAAATGTAAAATATTGGAAGCATAAATAAAAAGCATAGCTTGTAGGTGAATAGGCTCCCTTACTGAGTAACATAATTTAGTAGGTCTGAAATAAAAAGGTATGGTGGGAGGCGAAAACGGAGTAGTAAACCTGTAGTATGAACTTCTAAAGACAAACAGGGAGAATTAATTTGAGATAAAAATAAAATAAAGAGTATAGACAATAATATAATAATGATAAGTAGGAGAAGGTGAAGAAGAAGAAGAAGAAGAAAAATAATTGAAAGAAGAAGAATAACATACTTAGAAGAATAAGTAAATTGACGAAATCAAAGGCATTGCAAAGTAACAAAAACAAAATCTGTATAACCACCTGTACGATCCAGCGTGACATCAACATTTATACATACTTACTCAAAAAGTTTCACCTGAGCTTAACCATAAAGTAAATGATTGAACGTAATAATAGAGTGAAGTTTCATGAATAGAAATTCGTGAAACAGGAAGCTTCAAACATGACTAGCACTCTAGCAGCATATCCATGTTATGTCGTGGGGTTGAGGGGGGGGGGGGGGCGGAGGGGGAGGCACTGGTGTCACAGGGAAGAAGGCGTTGTTCCTAGAATGTTGATACCTTTTGAGAGTACAATGACAGTCATAATAAAAGTGTTAGGTGTCGGTACGAGGGGACAATCATTTCTAACGTTATCTGCCTCCCTTTTTTTCCTCCTTTGTTTCTCTATTTGCTTTCTTTCTTTTTCGACTTACGTTGGGGAGGGATTATTTGCTCTGTTCCACCACTGGTTCCTCTACGAAGACCACGCTCTCTCTCTTTCTCTCTCTCTCTCTCTCTCTCTCTCTCTCTCCCTCCATCTCCCTCCCTCTCCCCTTCTTTCCCTTTTCCCTTTACAAATGTTTGTTCTTATACTAAGATCTTACCATTTATATATTTATTATTCATTTATTGGAAATTCGATTTTAATGTTAACTATGAAAACAGGTTTGGAATGTATCTCAGGTGTTAAAACTATCATTACTTGAGGTTAAGTTGACGAAATAAATGTCTATACTTGTAATCTTCATTCGTTTGTTTGCTTCATGTATTCTGTTCAAATATTAACAATGCATACATTTCTAGACTTTCAAAGAATGTGCTATTATATAGCCATGGCGCTATGATGTGACTCATAGCCATAACCATTGAACCAACAACACTCTTCAGCGACCACGCCCACTGATGACCAACAATTTTAATCTTCCTATATTTGAGGGTGGTCTAGGAATTAAGTCACATAGACTGTACCGTTTTTCGAAATCGTTAGTTGATAGTAATACAAAACCACGACAACATTTAAAGCTTTCTGAATGAATAGGGTAGGTAGACTACCATTGTGTTTATAGTTTATTAATTGTTCATTAAGGGATGTATGCTATAGTGTAATTTATTTTTCATTGGGGCCGAATCACGCTTTGTTGATTTTCGTACATTTGTATGACACCCAAAATTAAATTATATGTCCAGTATAAAGTTCGATTATGGTAAACTATTGTAATTTGATACGTGACACGAAAAACGTACTTGTAGAGCAAAATGTGACACGAAAAACGTACATGTAGAGAAAAAGGCACGATTAATAATTGAATATGGAAGATTATTCACTAATTGATCTAAAACTAGTGACAGCTTTTTTATTCGTCAAATTGTAATATTCCAGGATAAAAAAAACATTAACCATAGTTTATAATTATCACAAATAAAAACAGATGCATATATCAATGTTCTAAATATTAAAACAAAAACAATTTTATTCTTTGCAGGTTGAATTGAAATCTTTTGAACCAAATGTACGGTAATTCTGGCAGCATAGCCTTCCATTTATAGCAGCGACATTTAATTGGACCTCTCTACCAAAGTTAAAGTTTAGAAAGTTGATAACTCAAGCAATAAAACAATACAATTTTAAGTTGTTTTACAAGATGTTATCGTTTAAACACAGTCTGTATATTTCGTTAATTGCATCAAAAATTAAGTGCAAATACTGCAAAAGAGATGTTAACACTTTATGTTCTATTATATTGTTCTGAAGTAATTGTATACTGGCGCAAAGTAAATAATTGAATCTATACTGTTTAATGAAAAAGTATTGGTTACTGGATATGACATTACAAACGAAAATATGATTCGTCTTGAAATGTTTTATTGTTTGTTCAATATACAAGTAATAAGGAGAATTTTTAAAGTAATTTAAATCCAAAGAATTTAATTCATTTGATACGTTTCTGGAATTAAAAAGAGATATTATATAATTTGAAATACATCGTAAAGAGAAACCAACGTGAACTTTCTAAGGAATAGTTTGCTAAATCTATCTTAACAAATGTGAATAGCATTTTTTTAACAGATTACGTACCGATTTGCAAATACATTTTATCGTTATATTTTGTTAATTTTTTCAATTTTGTTATTTGTATATTGTATTATTTCTAAGCAATACATTCCTCGTATGAGGATTAAAAACAAATCAATCATCACCATAACCTTCCCACAAAGTGCAACATTTTATTCGAAGTTCAACAGTGAGCGGATCACAATTAGTTGATTATTTGAGCTGACACATAATACACATTATACTCTTGATAAGGGGGGGGGGGGGGGAGGGAGCAGAAACAAAACATTCAACAGCTATAAGAATTCACATGCGTTTCGTTTTGCATAATATTGCTCAAATGTTTTACAGATACGTATTTTCTTAAAATAAAATCATTTAGAGCCCCTATAACTACAAAGTTTTCTGACGCTATTATCATGACTAGTTTTCGCTACTATGCATTGAACATCTAATTAATATTAGCATTAACTGATGATTTGCCTAGAAAAAATTGCCGCGAGAAGATGCCGGACCGATCAACTACGTTCAAGCACTAGTCGAGACGGAGTCCTGCAATGAAAGAAATCAAACAAGAAAAACAATTAAATTGCACGAAACAGACACAAAATAGCGGGGTAATGTTTTGATTTTGGTAGGGTCTACATAATGGCTTTTGGTGCCCCAATGATGTAACAATGATATATTGGATTAATGAGTAGAATTTGTGAAGTATTGCTGCGATGGCGCCACAAGTTAAGCTATGGTCACAACTCACAGCGGCGATCGACCGATTTGTAGCCTGCTCGGTCGCCGCTGGAAATTAGGCATCGCCCAACGGTTTTTGGAGAAGTCAAGCAGGCTGTAGAGCCCCAGCGATGCCTGGGCGGTGCCCTGTCAATTTCCCGTCGGTCGCCGGTCGATTTTATGTCAAAACTGGGCGAAATCGGGAAGCTTCTCCGGGCGGCGTCCCGGCAGTGACAGACTGATAACCCACCGATTCCCGAGCGGTCTCCCACCGGCCACCGGCTGATTTTAAAGAAATTTCCCGGCCGGTGATCGGTGGGGCACCAAAATACGGTTGGTGCCCGGGAGGTCGCCGCCCGGACACCAACCTAATCGATCGTTCGCTGTCAAGCGATATAGGTCGAAAATCGAAACTGCGAGGTCAAAGGCTGCCTACCGATTTTGAACTCGCCGCCCAGTGACCAACTGATCTCACAGCGAAGACCGGACAGCGACGTCCTGGGCGGGAACGCTTGGTAGCTTTTGACCTAGCGATTCGATTTTCAACCTAAATCGCTCGACAGCGAACGCTCGATTAGGTCGGTGCCCGGGCGCGCATATTTGTTTTTACACAACTGTGTAGCCATTTTCGCGAAAAAATTCCAAGAAGTGCTCTGGCGAAAGAGTCTAAGTCGTCAGCGCACTATATGTGCAAGCACGTATACCAGGGAAGGGAAAATGATAGAAGGGGAAAAACAAGGATGGTGGAGAGGATATGGAGAAGGAAAAACAAGGAAATACATAAGGAAAGAGAAGAGAATAAGTCAAAGGAAGAACTTAGAAATACATAATTGAAGAGCTATAAGAGGATCATAGATCTAAGGAAAAACAGGGACATTAAGAAGGAGAAAGGAAATCTATCATTTAAAACAAAGAAATAGATGACGAAGGAGAAAAGGATAGATTGACGGAGAAACAAAAGAAATACATAAAAAAAAAGAGGTTAGAATGAAAGAGAACAAAAGAATAACATAACGAAGCTAGAGAACTGCAGGGAGAGTAGATTGGGAAAAAAACAAAGAAATATATAACGAGGAGAAAAAGGATAGATTGAAGAAAAAAAAATACATGACAAAAAGAAAAGAGGATAGATTGAAGGAGAACACAGAAATAAATAATGAAAGAGAAGAGAGGATAGATTTAACCCGAAACAAATAACGAGTATGTCATTTGCAGCTCCAGCAATCCAACAAATGCTAAGGGTAATGCTAGACTCTGACTCTAGTCGTTTGCACAGTATATTTGACTGAAGTAGCTAAACAGTTGTGTAAAAAAAATATGCGCTGCCCGGGCGGCGAGTAACAAGTGAGCAGGCGCCGCCGAATTTTAAGTCCGCGCTAAATTTTCAGTGTCGACCGAGCGATGCCCTAAAAAAACAAGCGGTGCCCGAGCGAAATTTGCTAAAAACTGGCCGCCGGGCCGCCGAGCAAGCTACTTTTGAGGGTTGTGACCATAGCTTAACCCAGTAAGGCTGTTGCACTAAACTTATTTGACATTGTCGTACAGACATTATTCTACTTTGTATGGTCTATGTTCCTACTCTCTTTCTCTCCATTTCCACCCCTCTGTCTCTCTCTCTCCCTCTCTCTCCCTTTCTCTTCCCACCTCTCTCTCTCTATTCATTTATATGTATATGAGGTTGGTTGTGTATAATTACAGTATTACAATAATATAAAACAGCTAACCTGTTCTAGACCTGGATCGTTACGCACCTCCGGTCCTTTAACATACTCCAATAGATCATCTAACAGCACGTGTATTCTAGCTGCCGAACTGCTTCGGGATCTAGTCGTGTTAGCTTCGGACTCTTCTTCGGGAGTTTTCGGATTGGATTCGTCATCAATGGCCTGATTGATAGTCATGATTTCCGATTCTGTCATTTCGTTCAGAATAGCAGACTGGTAAACATACAAACTCGGAGGAGTGTCGTGCCAGGGAAAGTGCTGCGGAAAGATTGAGATTAGGTAACATTATTTCACTGCCTTTTAAATTTTATCTCCGTTTCTTAAGAGGAGGAGGAAAAAGAAGGTGAAAAAGAAGAAGAAGAAGAAGAAGAAGAAGAAGAAGAAGAAGAGATAAACAAACAATCACAGAAAAACGAAAAAAAAAAAAAAAACGATTATAATTTGATACCATTACAGGGCGATACGACCCACATATTTTAAGGGGTAAAATGGGTTTGTGGAGGGTAAGTCAAAATAAAAGTGCATTAGTGATAGGTAAATAGATCATCATATTATCTTTGGCACATTTGCTTCATGTACACAAACTCCACGTCCTGGACAGGACTCCCTTGGCGTTTTTTTATCGTATCGTTTTGATTGTGGTGATGGTGAGTATAATGTGACGGATTTCAACTTTAATGATTCTTTAAATGGCTTACAATAAATCGTAGTGAATTTAACCCATATAACAATGATTAACACGAATAATGATATCATGGCACATACCACATCATGTAGAATTGTTTCATCTGAATTACTGCCTGATGAGTGTCTCAGACCTTGATCGATATTTCGAAACGACACAAATCTTTTTCGTGATGGCTTAGTGTAACGCCGTACTATCATCAGAATGACGATTGCTGAGAGAAGTATCAACAACAAACACGCACTGGTAATGATGACGATGAATTCCCACTCAACTAAAATATGGAGAGAGAGAGAGAGAGAGAGATAGAGAGAGAGAAACGGATAGAGGAAGAGACAGAGAAAGGAGAGAGAGAGAGAGAGAGAGAGAGAGAGGGAAAGAGAGAGAGAGAGAGAGAGAGAGAAAGAGAGAGGAATAAAAAGAGGTATAGAGTTTCATTTTGAACACGTGACAAATATTGCTAGTTAGGGTGCTAGTATGGATTTGTTTTGCTGCAAACTAACTATGGGTGTCGATCCCGGGGGGGGGGGGGGAGATATATCCCCCCAATATTTCAGGTGGGGGGGGGGGATCGCTTGTACAATCATCCCCCCAATAAATCACCATGAAAAAAATAAAAACAAATGAAGAGAAAAATTAATGATGAGAGCCCGATGAGAGTAGTTAATGGTTATAACTCGCAAGATGACCATCAATATACACATTTTGCTATCTCATTTTCATAATGTATACATGTTTACGAAGTAAATGAGACAACCGCATATGAGACAAGAGTACATTGAATTCTCGCTCTTACGGCTTCATCAGGAATTGATGAATTTATTCAATTTGTTCAATCAACAGCATCATAGAAATGCAGTGCGCCGAATGCAAAGACGCAGCGTCAAAAAGCAACGAGCTAAATGTTAAGCGCGAAGCGCAAAGGTAGCAATCTGCTATGCAAATCAGACAATCCTGGACAGTGTAAACATAGATGAACTCTGTGATGAATTTATGATGAGATCGGAGACAAGGTGAAAGATTTTCGGACATTAGTATGACTTATAAGATAGTTCACTAGTTGTTATGTTGTTTCCATTCACCCTTTTTAAAATTCACGTCATTGTATCTTTATTTTTATTTTTTCACTCATTTTATTTCCTGATATTTCCTAAAACATTTTTCATTTTTGGAGAAAGATTATTATGTCTCAAATTATTATTGTTTTATTAGAAAGCTGATGTAGGCCTATGTAACTGGTGTACTGGTGGGGGGGGGGGGGGGGGGGCTTGGGGTGCTAGCCCCCCCCCCCAATAAAATCCAACCATGACTTATTTTTTTAATTTCATACAAGTGATTTATAAATGTTCGTGAAATCACATGATTTTCAACAAAATTCGCGTTTCTCCATTTCTGTTGCAAACTGACACATTCCCAAATAGCCGGGAAGAGCATATATTTTGAATAGTCACTAATGGGCCTAATTCGTGGCCGTTAACACTGACAGTAACAGTAGAATACAATTCCTTTCGAGAAGCTATTGCGACAAGCACTGCCGGGAAATAACATGCAAAGATTTGCGAACGAACGTTCCATACGTACATCATGTGGGGAAACTGAATTATGAATTAATATAGAGAACAGTACAACGAATCGTCTTCTTTCTCTAATAATTTAGTGGAAAGGGCAAAGCTTCCACGCTTTGCGCTGAAGGGGGGGGGGGGGCAACTGAATTCAGACTAGGATTAAGAGTTGTAATTAAATGAAACGTCAAAGTACACGATACAACGAATCATCTTCTTTTACTAATAATTTAATGAAACGTGAAAGCTTCCGCGCTATGCGCGGGATGGGCGAAAATGATTTCAGACGTGGATTCAGAATAATAATCAAATGAAACGTTAAAGCTTCAAAGTGGGGAAACTGAATTCAGACAAGGACACGATACAACAAATCGTCTTCCTTCTCCAATAATTTAATGAAACAGTAAAGCTTAGGGAAAAAATGAAAACAGGCAAGGATTAAGAGTAATAATTTATTGAAACGTCAAAGTTTCCGCGCTTCGCGCGGAAGGGGGGAAACTGAATTCATGAAGGACACGATACAACAAATCGCCTTCTTTCTCTAATAATGTAATAAAATGTGAAAGCTTCCGCGCTCGCGAAGGAATGGACTAAAATGAATTCAGACAAGGATTAAGAGTCGAGAATGGTACATCGAATCTTCTTCTTTCTTTATTAATCTTTTGAAACGTCAGAGCTTCCGCGCTATGCGCGGAGGAACGGGAACTTGATTCAAACAAGGATTAAGAGTCGAGAACGGTCCAACAAATCGTCTTCTTTCTCTAATAATTTAGTGAAACGTCAAAGCTTCCGCGCTTTGTGGGGGAGGAGGAACTCCCGCTCCTTGCACCCAACTGGGAGCTCGCTTCGCACGTTTCGCATGCTCACTACCGCCCCCCTAAAATGAAATTCTGGCTACGCCCTTGGGAGGGGGTGCAACTTGCCACACGCTTCTACCTCTTGGTTGCTTTGATCCATTTCCGAAAATATTTTGGCACCTATCATCCCCCCAACCACGGATACAAATCGACACCCTTGAAACTAACCAATCACGACGTCGAATGTAACACCAAATGATCAGGAGTACTAATATAATAAACAACAGTTATATCTTATACACTGCAGGAAAAAACACGTATTTCAATTTCTTTCATTTATAACAAAGTAAAATGCAATTTTCAAAATGTAAGAGACTCCTAATCCAAATGTCCGTTTCATATAATTACACACACTGCAAATCAGGCACGTACGCAGGGGGGGGGGGGGGGTGTTTCGGGGGTTCCCCCTCAACGTTTATGTCAGTTGCGGATCCAGAGGAGGGGGGGGGGGGGCGGAACCTCCCCCCGGCAATTTTTTTCAGGGGGGGGGGGGGGTGTGAACATTTTCACTAATTGGGCAAAACAAATATAGTGGTCATTTCATATGCACGCACAATTATACTGAGAAAACAGACCCGTGGGTCATGTTGATTGAGTTTCCTTTTCCTCATCAAGGCACAGGAAAATGACGATATTAATAATAATCTACATACATGATTGTCATACGTGCGATGCGAATAAAGCACTTACTACTATTGTCTACTGGTTGAGGACCCAATGTACTTTGGTTAAGTGTTGTTCCTGTCGTTGTTTTCATGGATGTCGTGGATGGAGCATCTGAAAATGAATGAATATAATTCAGTTTACTAAATGCTGACTAATAGCTAGAGTAATGGTATATACAGTGCACATAAAACAATACTTTTATTTGGGATCATTCCTCGGGAGTTGAATCCACTCAAAATGTATTATGCATTCCTAAATACACTGTTTTGAGTGAATTCCACTCCTTGTTATAGTGAGATGCGTTCATGAGTACTCTGTTGAGAGCGGATTCCACTCCTTATTATAGTGAGATGCGTTCATGAGTACTCTGTTTTGAGTGAATTCCACTCCTTATTATTGTGGGATGCGTTCATGAGTACTCCGTTGAGAGCGGATTCCACTCCTTATTACAGTGAGATGCATTTCTGAGCACTTTGCTGAGAATGAATTCCAACTCCAACGAAGTGATCATTTAAATGTCTTCCCTTCCCCCTCCCTAAGCTTGAGAAAATTTCAACTCCGATTTTTTTAGGAGTAGAGACGATTTATTCAGAAAAACTGGTACTTCTTTTGTCAAAGAAGTATACCATGTACAGTCGATTTTTGGGGGTCAGTCGGGTTCTACAATCCGTGGTGTTCTCCTCCTCTTCTTCTATCTATGATACTAAATGCACCTTTAAAAGGCGATACACAAACGCAAATTAGAAAAAAAATAAAACCTGAGGGGTATGTTATATTTAGAACTTGATGCTCCGTAGTCCAGAGAAGTATTTAAGATGTGACAAGTTTCTCAATCTTGGTCGCTTTGCTCCCTTGTATATGTTTCTACATGATTCCTAGATGCACCACCGGACACAGAATTTCCCCAAAAATATTTTACGTAATCGTCAACATTTGATAGCATACATTTAAGTCGATTGAAAAGAAACATTAGGAATAACATCAGGACAGAAAAACAAAGACAATACATCTCGAATTACTGGGTACATGGCAAATAGTATGAGCACTAGGAAAATAATCACAAGTCTTACTGGTTTTGATAGCTAGTTGACAGTGCGTTCCCACTGGGTAGTTTTCTACGTCAGTGTAGCCATCATTACACGAACACTCAAAGCCATTTGATCCAAGATCCGTACAAGTTGCAAAAGATGAACAGTCGTCAATATCCATTTCACACTCATTCGTTGCTGAAAAAGGCACATAGTAAAGTTGAGAAATAAATAAGACATCCTCATTAAAGAGAGAGAAATAAGCGGAACCAAACAAAAAAGTTAAGTAGTGGCATATGTCCTCCCAACATTTAAGTAGTTCTCAGTGCCCGACTAGGAAATAGGTTTCCCAACATAAGGACTCTCAAATAAACAATTATTGACTACTTTGAGGAGCAACGTTAATACTACTGCCCAAGTCGATCTCGAAACTGTACTGTGCTCCGAGACGAAGTCAAGAGCCATAGTACAGGATTGAGATCAACGAGGAGCAATACAGTGCGTCCCAGAAAAAAACAAAACCAAGAATTATCGATGTTTTAACATATCTTAATCGCAGTTATAATCATGGCCTTTGTGAAACACTCCGCAGGTATTCATTTTAAATCTGGATGGAGAGTGTCTACTGCCCAAGTCGATCTCGAAACTGTACTGTGCTCCGAGACGAAGTCAAGAGCCATAGTACAGGATTGAGATCAACGAGGAGCAATACAGTGCGTCCCAGAAAAAAACAAAACCAAGAATTATCGATGTTTTAACATAACTTAATCGCAGTTATAATCATGGCCTTTGTGAAACACTCCGCAGGTATTCATTTTAGATCTGGATGGAGAGTGTCTACTGCCCAAGTCGATCTCGAAACTGTACTGTGCTCCGAGACGAAGTCAAGAGCCATAGTACAGGATTGAGATCAACGAGGAGCAATACAGTGCGTCCCAGAAAAAAACAAAACCAAGAATTATCGATGTTTTAACATAACTTAATCGCAGTTATAATCATGGCCTTTGTGAAACACTCCGCAGGTATTCATTTTAAATCTGGATGGAGAGTGTCTACTGCCCAAGTCGATCTCGAAACTGTACTGTGCTCCGAGACGAAGTCAAGAGCCATAGTACAGGATTGAGATCAACGAGGAGCAATACAGTGCGTCCCAGAAAAAAACAAAACCAAGAATTATCGATGTTTTAACATAACTTAATCGCAGTTATAATCATGGCCTTTGTGAAACACTCCGCAGGTATTCATTTTAAATCTGGATGGAGAGTGTCTAACGTGGAATAAATTCTGGCCAATAGACGGTAGTGCCAGACTGGGATTCGAACCCTCAAATTTGGATTGAGATTCAAGTGAATATACAATGACACCTCCATGTTACCTTATGCTGTTCTGGTATAAGTCTTTGCGATCAAGCTGGTAATATATACGACAAAATCAATGGTAAACTTACGCATTACTTGATAGCTAGACACAGTGAAGACTGATGACCCGTCAGACAGGTTACCACCAGTTCTATTAATCTCCTTCTCAAGTTCCTTTTGTAGTATATGATCTGTTACATTGGTCTCCGGATCGAATAGGAGATTGATGTCTGCGATGATACTACCAGAACTGAACTTGATGACGGTGCAACCATAGTAATCGGTCAACGTATCAGCGTATATGCCGTCAACCTATGAGATTTAAATTGTAGTTTAAGCTTCTACTAACCTTAAGTACTAATAGGCAAGCTTTTATTCATCACGTGGACTTTCTTGCTGTATCCTGCCTCTGGATTATAATTATAATAATAATACTCAGTTTTTATATAGCGTTTATTAGAATCACTAATCGCCTCCAAACTTGGAGTCTTTGCGATCAAGCTGGTAATATATACGACAAAATCAATGTTAAACTAATCACCTCCAAACTTGGAGATTATTACCCCGGCTTTAGCTGTGCTGCCATTGCTCTAGCATTTCAAAGAATAAATTCCTGCCAGGTACCCATTTACATCACCTGGGTTGAGTGTGACAAATGAAGATCAATGTCTTGCCAAAGGACATTAGTGCCGCGGCGGGTATCGAACCGCGGACCTTGTGATCGACAGTCCTGCGACTTAACCAGTCGACCACGGCACCTAGAGTGATTATTACGTTATTAGAATGATAGTTGATATTTGACAGACAGAAACTTGCTTATTACATTTCAAGGTTGTTAGAAGCTATGGCTCTATTTTATAATTACCCAAACACCCTTTACGATAACTCGATGAGCATAATTATCTTTGATGTCGAACGAGGAAGTTATAAGAAGATAATTATTTTCTTGTTTGTATAGTTAGATATGCTACTAATTGGGTAGATTTTTGTTTCTAAGAGAAAATCGCAAATATAAAGACACGTTGTCCAGTAGTAATGATGGTCATCCCATAACACGCTTACCATGTTACATATCTCTGATTCCAACATGATAAAACTCTCACTCTCTCTGTTCGTAAGGTCATCAGAGAATTCTGCTGACGTGCCGTTGACTGTTTCTATCTCCATGGTCGCAAGAAAAGTCGAAGATTCTGAAGAGATAGACAAAACGGAGGATCATATCATGATAACTATGTGAAGTACTAACGGTTCGATATAAATAAACATACTTTGTAGATGTAGTAGTCTTTCCAAGAGGGTAGTTGTTTTATAAACGCAAGATTTTCATCGTTTGATGTAGTGCATAGGAAGCAGTCGCAACAAATATACACATACCCGATTTCTGGCACCTCCCCAATTTTTTCCAAACAAATAAATTGTCCCTTTAGAACTGAAAAACGCCCCTCTTACATTTTAAAAGGTTGCCCATCCTGAAAGAAAGAACAAAATAAAATATTCTGATGTTTCTGTCCTGCCTTTTGTTCTAATTAGACAACATATTTCCTCTTCGTTACAATATCATAAGGTGCTCTTTACTGTGATTCTTGTTGAAATATCATCTGATTGTCCGCTCTCTTCTTATCAAAGTCTCAGTTCTGTAAAATACCCAAATCACTGTTACAATTATAGACCTATTAAATACAATATATGCCCTTTTATCTGTTCCCTCACCATATACAATATCTAAACTATCCTTTATGTGATACTTATGGAATTTATTGTCCCCTTATCTTTAATAATATGCCACAAACATATCTCCCTGTCCCACATTGTATTGATCATGGGACACCAAGAGCTTCGAGATCATTTACTGTTTTTAGTTTAATTTTAATATATATAATCGTGTTGTAAAGATTGCCATGGACTTAATCAAGACAAGAAATGCGTAATCTTGAAAAGCAATTGTTGCACAAAGCAATTTTTCCGCCAACTGGTGCCCATTGTTTTGCACGTATGGCAAACGAGGGACTATGCAAAGAAGCGACAAAGGCAAGGTAAGATTAAACGGCGACTTTTGTTTGTACTTACCCACGCAAGTGTCACCTGAAAGATAATACCCAGGGCGGCATTGACATTGAAATCCTCCACTAGTCTCCTCGCAGGTCTGGCTGTCGCGATCACATTGACCGAAACACGGATCTAGATAGTAAAATAATATTGGTTCACCCTCATAATGTATTGCTATATACCTGCCAATAACTTAGTACCCATATTCGGTATCATGCAAGATGGCTAAAAGCAGGACTGCACTACTTATATAGCAAACAATGCACAATCGGTACCCGTTTGTCCCCCATGGTCCCCCTTTTCTTATGTTAATTTAGAGATGGTTTGATGAGATAACCACCTGCCACTGACCGTGCAGGATGGTCAAATCCCTCCTGGCGAAACTAGTGCAGAGGGGCCTTAAGGGATGACGAATGTTAATAGTCATCTTAATAGTGAATAACTGTATCCCTTATTGATGGAATATATTCGTTTGTGAAATACTAAATATGCTCGTCGGGCAATCACATTGTATTGAATTGAATTTGAATAAGTGATTTTGCTTTTCAAGATTGATTGAGAAATAGTTATAGCAATTTCTGCCATGCTTAGGCATATATCCTTGACCTTCGGAATTTCCATTCTAGTTTTCAAACCATTTGACTGTGGATAATCTACCATTAGCTCTGATATTTATCTCTGTCAAGTTGGTTCTGTTGGTATCGTATCGGATATCAAACCACAGTTTGGTTAAGAGCGAGCGAACGATCTTATATTCAATTCTACGATTATTATAGTAAATATTGATGAACCTCTTTGTGTTACTTTATCGCATATGACAGAACAAGACTCCAAAGAAATCTGCCAGTACAAAATTCAACATTAACATAATGTAATTGAATTGAGATCAGAAGTTAAACTCTCAAACATCTCCATTACAAATGACCCTAACCGATAACATCGTAGACATAATATGAATATAATTAGGATTTTAAAAGGCACGCATTGGTCATATACATAATTATAGACTGTTGGTCATGAAGGTGAAATACTAAAGGTGAATCATGGAGATATCTCCATGGGTGAATTAAGCATGTGTGTGCTACTATGCTAATCAACTAGGGGACCTACGCCCTTAAGTCAAAACTGACATTAATAAGGATTAATGCCTTACAAAAGGGCACTAATATAGCTGGTCGACACGGTTTTGATTCTGGGGCCTCGCAGTAACGAGGCCATTGTTTAGTCCCTGAACCATAACTGTACGCAGCGGGGGCTAGGGTACGGGGCCGCCCCCACAAATACAAATAAACGAATAAAATGCGATACATTATCAATAATTCATTGTATTTTACCCCGGTCTCCAATAGGACAAATTCCTCTGTAGGGCAATGCCTTATAGTTCAAGGTGATTAAAGTATCCGAATCAGATACCTGCGGCTTACAAGTATATTTAAAGGAAATATTATGGAGGGCAAATGTTGAAAAGCATCATCTCTGGAAAAAATGTTGACAAACAAGTATAACTATTTTTGTGATATTAGTATAATTCGTGTGTTTTTCTTTGTAATCGAGATAATTGTGTGTCTCTTATGTACATATTATTATTCAATTAATAATTGATGGAAAAAAAGGAAAACGAATGTATATTAGCTCTTTGGGCATATTTTAGATCGAATAAAAATAGCGAATGTATCGACTATTCGGCAGAATGAAATTAGACACTCACCCTGGCATTCTTCCCCCGGTGGGGGCGGGAAAGGTACTTTACAAACACATTCGTCACTCAAGCATTCCTGATCCCATGAATTACACAGTCCGTCACATGGTAACGACACAGCTTCGTAAAGGGGTGAGGAAAATAGGAATAACGAATAAAATTGATAAAATAAAATTTACTGAAATTACTGTACATTCAAAGTGACTATCATTGAAGAGTATGAGATTGTACTGAATACAACTTTGAAACTGAGACAAATGCACAATAATCCAGGATCGGTTATCGTAGTGAGAACAAAAAAGTACATTGACCTCTTATCATATTTACCAAATTTCCACTCAAATTATGTGAACAAGGCACAATATTTGTTTTTAATTAATTTATGATTGAATAAGAGAACCATAAAATATATTAATCATTAAGTACTAAATCAAATCGAGAAGTAACTTTAAAAAGAAAAAAAGAAAGAAAGGTGATGTGATACTAAATAAATTAAATACGTGAGAATAACCCAAACTCATTCATCCATGATGAATATCAGCTCGTTTTGAACAAGAAATTGGTATTTTTATTATTTTATCTAAACTACTTCTTAAAGGTACTATGTCCCATTTGCAGGCCCCCAAAATGAAAAGGTTATTATACCAACAGCATTTGAAAGATATTACTAATTTAGAACTTCCCTAAAAAAGGTGGGACTCGAAAATGTCTTCAAGTGGGAAAATAACGACTATTAGTTGTCAAATCGATTTAGGAGCTATAGAGCCAATAAGTAATAGTCTTGATTTTCAGACCATTCTACCGAATGGTCATACGTTTTATGCTGTGCAAAGATTCAATCAGTTACATTTTGGCCGTCACAAGAAGTGGGTTATTGATGTAGACAAATGCTCATGTACCCTTTACAGCTCATTTTATACATATAATACATGTTATTACGGGTTTCCTTGCATAATTTGAATATTAGGACACTGCTATACGTTTAAATTTTCACAGATATGACATACATGACATATTCATAATTCCTGCAAAGTTCTACATAATTTGAGGTTGGCTGCAAAATGGACATAGCACCTTTAAATGAATTTAGTGGCATTTGCAATTTGTTCATAATACTCAAAGAAACTACCCGATTAAGGTCGCAGATAATGAAAAGTGTATTGCCTAAAAATAAACGAAATAACAGATATCAACGAGAACAAAAATAACAAAGAAAGGAAAAAACAAACATATAACGGATAAGTGAACTTACGAGTAGTTTGTTCTGTGGTTGTTTGTGATGAAGTTGGCGTGGTAGGAAGATCAGAAGTGGTAGGCCCTTGTGTTGTTTTTGGCTTTGTTGAAGTAGTTTGGTGCGGTGTAGTTTGTGTTGCAGTCGGAATGGATGGGGAATCAGAAGTGGTAGGCTCCTGTGTTGTTTCCGACTCTATTGGAGTAGTTTGTTCTTGAGTCGTTGATGCGGCAGAGGGAGTGGTTTGAGAATCAGAAGTGGTAGGCTCCTGTGTTTGTTCCCGCTCTGTTGGAGTAGTTTGTTCTTGAGTCGTTGACGCGGCAGTGGGAGTGGTTTGAGAATCAGAAGTGGTAGGCTCCTGTGTTGTTTCCGGCTCTATTGGAGTAGTTTTTTCTTGAGTCGTTGATGCTGCAGTGGGAGTGGTTTGAGAATCAGAAATGGTGGGCTCCTGTGTTGTTTCCGGCTCTGTTGGAGTAGTTTGTTCATGAGTCGTTGATGCTGCAGTGGGAGTGGTTTGAGAATCAGAAGTGGTAGGCTCCTGAGTCCTTTCTGGCTCTGTTGGAGTAGATTGTTCTTGAGTCGTTGATGCTGCAGTGGGAGTGGTTTGAGAATCAGAAGTGGTGGGCTCCTGTGTTGTTTTCGGCTCTGTTGGAGTAGTTTGGTCTGGGGTTGTTTGTTTCAGAGTGGTGGGCTCCTGTGTTGTTTCCGGCTCTGTTGGAGTAGTTTGTTCAGGGGTTCTTTGTTTCAGAGTGGTGGGCTCCTGTGTTGTTTCCCGCTCTGTTGGAGTGGTTTGTTCAGGGGTTGTTTGTTTCAGAGTGATGGGCTCCTGTGTTGTTTCCGGCACTGTTGGAGTAGTTTGTTCGGGGGTTGTTTGGTTCAGAGTGGTGGGCTCCTGTGTTGTGTCCTGCTCTGTTGGAGTAGTCTGTTCAGGGGTTGTTTGTTTCAGAGTGGTGTGCTCCTGTGTTGTTTCCGGCTCTGTTGGAGTAGTTTGTTCAGGGGTTCTTTGTTTCAGAGTGGTGGGCTCCTGTGTTGTTTCCCGCTCTGTTGGAGTGGTTTGTTCAGGGGTTGTTTGTTTCAGAGTGATGGGCTCCTGTGTTGTTTCCGGCACTGTTGGAGTAGTTTGTTCAGGGGTTGTTAGTTTCAGAGTGGTGGGCTCCTGTGTTGTTTCCGGCTCTGTTGGAGTAGTTTGTTCAGGGGTTGTTTGTTTCAGAGTGGTGGGATCCGGTGTTGTATCCGGCTCTGTTGGAGTAGTCTGTTCAGGGGTTCTTTGTTTCAGAGTGGTGGGCTCCTGTGTTGTTTCCGGCTCTGTTGGAGTAGTTTGTTCAGGGGTTGTTTGTTTCAGACTGGTGGGCTCCTGTGTTGTTTCCCGCTCTGTTGGAGTGGTTTGGTCTGGGGTTGTTTGTTTCAGAGTGGTGGGATCCGGTGTTGTTTCCGGCTCCGTTGGAGTGGTTTGTTCAGGGGTTGTTTGTTTCAGAGTGGTGGGCTTCTGTGTTGTTTCCGGCTCTGTTGGAGTAGTTTGTTCAGGGGTTGTTTGTTTCAGAGTGGTGGGCTTCTGTGTTGTTTCCGGCTCTGTTGGAGTAGTTTGTTCAGGGGTTGTTTGTTTCAGAGTGGTGGGCTCCTGTGTTGTTTCCGGCTCTGTTGGAGTAGTTTGTTCAGGGGTTGTTTGTTTCAGAGTGGTGGGCTCCTGTGTTGTATCCGGCTCTGTTGGAGTAGTCTGTTCAGGGGTTGTTTGTTTCAGAGCGGTTGGCTTATGAGTTGTTTCCAGGTCTCCTGGAGTAGTTTGGGCTGGGGTTGTTTTTTCTTTGGTTGTTTGTTTCAGAGTTGTGGGCTCCTGTGTTGTTTCCGGCTCTTTTGGAGTAGTTTGTTCGGGGGTTATTTGTTTCAGAGTGGTGGGCTCCTGTGTTGTTTCCGGCTCTGTTAGAGTAGTTTGTTCAGGTGTTGTTAGTTTTGGAGTGGTAGGATAATCGGAAGTTGTAGGCTCCTTAGTTGTTTCCGGCTCTGTTGGAGTAGTTTCTTCTGGAGTTGTTGGTTTTGGAGTGGTATGCTCTGTTAGAGTAGTTTGTTCCGGAGTTGTCGGTTTTGAAGTGGTACGATAAACGGAAGTGGTAGGCTCCTGTGTTGTTTCCTGCTCTACTGGAGAAATTATTCTGTGGGTTGTTGTTTTTGCAGTTGTAGGATAATTAAAAGTTGTAGGCTCCTGAGTTGTTTCAGGCTCTTCTTCTGGAGTTGTTGGTTTTGGAGTGGTAGGAGTATCAAAAGTCGTAGGCTTCTGAGTCTTTTCCGGCTCTGTTCGAGTAGTTTGGTCAGGGGTTGTTTGTTTTGAAGTGGTAGGATAATCCGAAGTGGTAGGCTCCTGTGTTGTTTCCGGCTCTGTTAGAGTAATTTGTTCTGGAGTTGTTTGTTTTGGCGTGGTGGGAAAATCAGTTGTGGTAGGCTCTTGCGTAGTTTCCTGCTCTGTTGGAGTAGTTTGTTCCGGAGTTGTCGGTTTTGGAGTGGTAGGAGTATCAGACGTGGTAGGCTCTTGCGTTGTTTCCGGCTCTGTTGGGGTAGTTTGTTCTGGAGTTGTTGGTTTTGGAGTGGCAGAAGATTCAGAAGTGGTATGCTTCTGAGTCGTTTCCGGCTCTACTGGAGAAATTATTCTGTGGGTTGTTGTTTTTGCAGTTGTAGGATAATCAAAAGTGGTAGGCTCTAGCGTGGTTTCCGGTTCTGACTGAGTTGTTTGTTTTCGGGTCGTGTGTGTTGTAGCAGGAGTGGTGGGAGGTTCCAATATTTCCTTACACTCAAATCCTGCTGGAGTTTCTGTGCACAACTGATCTTCTAAACACCACCCAAAACAAGGATCTGTGTATAAATGGAAATTGTAAAGATTTTTCAAAGAAAGTAAGTAAGAGAGAGAAAGAGATAGAGATAGATAGAGAGAGAGAGAGAGACATAGAGAGAGAGAAAATGAAAGCGTTAGATATATATATATATATATGTATGTATGTAATAGAGAGATAAATCACTTTTTGACAAATTCACATGTTCATTCATTATTTAATGTTACCCCTTTCTTTTAATCAGTGAATAAACTTCAGATGTCCAGTATCTAAGTTTTAAACCTGAAAAATGAACTTATCAAATAAATTGCCAAGCTTGTCATTTTCTAAAGTAATAGTCAATGCTTCGTCCGTAGGAATAACGTAGTTGTGAAAGCAGAAGATAAGCGTCTGTCGTGTATAATGATATGTTTATTTATATATGTATATAACCTTGCGCAGAGGAGAAAATTACATGCATACAAGAAAAGTATAACTGAGAGTGATAATAACCCACCATTTTTAAAACATTTCCAAAGATAAGGAAATTCATGTTTTTCATCAGATTAGAGCTTTTACTAAACATCGCCAGAAAGGGATAATAATTTGACAATAATTATGCTAGTCTAGGAATAATACATTTAGTCAGAATCTCCAGTACGTCATTTACCCGTGTAATATCTATTATTATATATTTTGAACAGAACGTCATTTATTGCAATTGGTTGGTGATAAAGTGATTTAGAGAGGTTATTGACGAAGATGCATTACCTGGACATGGAACTGTGCCTGGTGCTACCGGCGCGATACAAGTGCATTGGTTAAGTTCACATCTCTCTCTTCCAGATTCACATTCAGGAACACAGGTCGATCCTATAGTAAATGAAAATGATAATAATAATTTATTTCACAGATAGTATAGATATAATGACTGCTATGAGAGGAATATTTGTTTTTATAGGCTCAAGGGGATGTTAACTCCTGCCATCACCCTGAGGTTTGCCGAAGGGTGAGAGCAATTCCATTTCTAACAAAGTATACATGTCATTTTAATAAATACTATGCGGAATTTACACAAAACATTATTACATTTGAAATAAAGATTGAATAGGATGTCTATTTAGACGTTTTACTTCTAATTGTTGCCATGCTCTCACTCTATTTTAATCTTTACATTCATGACGATACCATCTTCTTACTGCCTAACAAATTAACGAATTCAGATTTCTAAGGAAAAAGGTTATTGCGATGATTTTGTGTATTTCATCAGTGTTAATGTAATCCAACTCGCTTAAAGCCCCACTGCACTAGCTACTTGCGCCCTCTATATAGCAAACAATATCTAATCGGTGACCATTTGTCCCCCGTGATCCCATTTTCTTATGTTAATTGAGAACTTATTTGATGAGATAACCACCTGTCAGTGACCATGCTGGAAGGTATAATTCCCCGGGCCAAACTAGTGCCGTGGGGTTTTATATTATGATGCTTATAAAAAAAGAAAAGAAAAAAGATGATATATCAGAAAAAAGAAGAAAAAAAGTTATTGATTCCACTTTCAATACCTCTTTTCGTGACTGGAATTAAACTCTGTGTCATTTCATTCTTATTTAAAAGGAAGAAAAGCAACAAGATGTCATTGTTTTCTTATTTAAATTACGTAATTAAGAATTGATTCAACGTTGTGAATTCCTACGAGTAAAAATTAAAAATTATTCCAAAGTATATTGATTATAAATATACAAATTAAATAGTTCAAATTACAACAAGCAATTTTGACTAAATTCAACGATGCAACTTTTATTAGAAACATTGAGATTGTACCGAAGACTATCAATCAAAATTAAATGAAAAAAACAAAAAACAGGGGTGCACTCATATTTCTGTTTCAATACTTTTATATAGACTCGATTCAACGTTGTGTCCTCCGATTAGATTATTCCAAATCATATTTATTACGAATCTAGAAATAAAATTAATGTATACAATTCCTATTTAAAAAAAAAGCATTTCGATTGAATTCGAATTCAACAATGTTACTGCAAATTATAAAATTGAGATTATACCAAAGACTTTAAGTTAAAGAAAAATATAGGCGCTCCTTTTTTTGGTTTCAATACAGTCACTTAGACTGAATTTAACTTTTTGATTTACCAGGAGTAAGATTGAGGTTATTCCAAAAGACTATTTTTTTTACACATTTACAAATAAATGAATTGATACATTTCCTATTGCATCAAGTAATTTTGGCTTAACTATATGTTTTGATTCTTCTTAGCAGGATTGAGATTATACTGAAGACTATTACTAACAAAAAAACAATCTCTTATTTCTGTTTCAACACAATCATGTAGACTCGAGTCAACGTTTTGAGTTTCTAAAAGTAAAACTAAGATTATTCCAAATACTATCAATTACAAACAAATGCATTTCTATTTGTTTCACCCAATTTTCAAAATTTCCCAAGACTTTGTATTACCTATAAAATAAAAAAAAAGGAAGAAAAAAATACCGGATAAATAAACTTACGAGTAGTTTGTTCTGCGGTTGTTTGTGGTGAGGTTGGTGTGGAAGGAAGATCATAAGTGGTAGGCCCTTGTGTTGTTTTTGGCATTGTTGAAGTAGTCTGGTGCGGTGTCGTTTGTGTTTGAGTGGTTGGAGTATCTGAAGTGGTAGGCTCCTGGGTTGTTTGCAGCTCTGTTGGAGTAGTATGTAGTGGGGTCGTTGGTTTTGGAGTGGAAAGAGAATCAGAAGTAGTCGACTCGTTTGTTGTTTCCGGCTCAGTCGGAGTAGTTTGTTCTTGAGTCGTTGGTGTTGCAGTAGGAAGGGTTGGAGAAGCAGAAGTGGTAGGCTCCTGAGTCGTTTCTGGCTCTGTTGGAGGGGTTTGTTTTGGGGTAGCCTCTGATGTAGTTGGAGTGGTTGGAGAATCAGAAGTGGTAGGCTCCTGAGTCGTTTCCGGCTCTGTTGGAGTAGTTTGTTCTTGGGTAGCCTCTGATGTAGTTAGAGTGGTTGGAGAATCAGAAGTGGTAGGCGCCTGAGTCGTTTCTGGGTGTGTTGGAGTTGTTTGTTCTGGGGTAGCCTCTGATATAGTTGGAGTGGTTGGAGAATCAGAAGTAGTAGGCTCCTGAGTCGTTTCCGGCTCTGTTGGAGTAGTTTGTTCTTGGGTAGCCTCTGATGTAGTTAGAGTGGTTGGAGAATCAGAAGTGGTAGGCTCCTGAGTCGTTTCTAGGTCTGTTGGAGTTGTTTGTTCTGGGGTAGCTTCTAATGTAGTTAAAGTGGTTGGAGAATTAGAAGTGATAGGCGCCTGAGTCGTTTCTGGGTGTGTTGGAGTTGTTTGTTCTGGGGTAGCCTCTGATGTAGTTGGAGTGGTTGGAGAATCAGAAGTGGTAGGCTCCTGAGTCGTTTCTCGGTCTGTTGGAGTAGTTTGTTCTGGGGTAGCTTCTGATGTAGTTAAAGTGGTTGGAGGCTCCTGAGTCGTTTCCGGCTCTGTTGGAGTTGTTTTTTCAGGGGTTGTTAGTTTTGGAGTGGTTGGAGAATCAGAAGTGGTAGGCTCTTGCGTTGTTTCCGGCTCTGTTGGAGTAGTTTGTTCAGGGGTTGTTAGTTTTGGCGTGGTAGAATAATCAGAAGTGGTAGGCTCTTGCGTGGTTTCCGGCTCTGTTGGAGTAGTTTGTTCAGGGGTTGTTAGTTTTGGCGTGGTGGGAGAATCAGAAGTGGTAGGCTCTTGCGTTGTTTCCGGCTCTGTTGGAGTAGTTTGTCCAGGGGTTGTTGGTTGTGGAGTGGTAGGAGTATCAGAAGTGGTAGGCTCTTGCGTTGTTTCCGGCTCTGTTGGAGTAGTTTGTTCAGGGGTTGTTAGTTTTGGCGGGGTGGGAGAATCAGAAGTGGTAGGCTCTTCCGTGGTTTCCGGCTCTGTTGGAGTAGTTTGTTCAGGGGTTGTTAGTTTTGGCGTGGTAGGAGAATCAGAAGTGGTAGGCTCTTGCGTTGTTTCCGGCTCTGTTGGAGTAGTTTGTTCAGGGGTTGTTAGTTTCGGAGTAGTAGAATAATCAGAAGTGGTAGGCTCTTGAGTCGTTTCTGGATCTGTTGGAGTTGTTTGTTCTGGGGTAGCTTCTGATGTAGTTTGAGTGGTTGGAGAATCAGAAGCGGTAGGCTCCTGAGTCGTCTCTGGGTGTGTTGGAGTTGTTTGTTCTGGGGTAGCCTCGGATGTAGTTTGAGTGGTTGGAGAATCAGAAGTGGTAGGCTCCTGAGTCGTTTCTGGATCTGTTGGAGTTGTTTGTTCTGGGGTAGCCTCTGATGTAGTTTGAGTGGTTGTAGAATTAGAAATGGTAGGCTCCTGAGTCGTTTCTGGGTCTGTTGGAGTTGTTTGTTCTGGGGTAGCCTCTGATGTAGTTGGCGTGGTAAGAGTATCAGAAGTGGTAGGCTCCTGAGTCGTTTCCGGCTCTGTTGGAGTAGTTTGTTCAGGGGTTGTTGGTTGTGGAGTGGTAGGAGTATCAGAAGTGAATGGCTCTTGCGTTGTTTCCGGCTCTGCTGGAGTAGTTTGTTCAGGGGTTGTTGGTTTCGAAGTGGTGGGAGCAACAGAACTGGTAGGCTCCTGAGTCGTTTCTGGCTCTGTTGGAGTTGTTTGTTCTGGAGTAGCCTCTGATGTAGTTTGAGTGGTTGGAGAATCAGAAGTGTTAGGCTCCTGAGTCGTTTCTGGGTCTGTTGGAGTTGTTTGTTCTGGGGTAGCCTCTGATGTAGTTGGCGTGGTAGGAGTATCAGAAGTGGTAGGCTCCTGAGTCGTTTCTGGCTTTGTTGGAGTAGTTTGTTCAGGGGTTGTTGGTTGTGGTGTGGTAGGAGTATCAGAAGTGAATGGCTCTTGCGTTGTTTCCGGCTCTGTTGGAGTAGTTTGTTCAGGGGTTGTTAATTTTGGCGTGGTGGGAGAACTAGAAGTGGTATGCTCTTGTGTGGTTTCCGGCTCTGTTGGAGTAGTTTGTTCAGAGGTTGTTAGTTCTGGCGTGGTAGGAGAATCAGAAGTGGTAGGCTTTTGCGTTGTTTCCGGCTCTGTTGGAGTAGTTTGTTCAGGGGTTGTTGGTTTCGAAGTGGTGGGAGAATCAGAAGTGGTAGGCTCCTGAGTCGTTTCCGGCTCTGTTGATGTAGTTTGTTCTGGGGTTGTTGGTTTCGAAGTGGTGGGAGAATCGGAAGTGGTAGGTATCTGAGTCGTTTCTGGCTCTGTCGGAGTAGTTTGTTCCGGAGTTGTTGGATTTGGAGTGGTAGGAGTATCAGAAGTGGTAGGCTCTTGCGTAATTTCCTGCTCTGTTGGAGTAGTTTGTTCTGGAGTTGTCGGTTTTGGAGTGGTAGGAGAAACAGAAGTGGTAGGCTCCTGTGTTGTTTCAGGCTCTACTGGATAAATTATTCTGTGGGTTGTTGTTTTTGCAGTGGTAGGATAATCAAAAGTTGTAGGTTCCTGTGTTGTTTCCGGTTCTGACTGAGTTGTTTGTTTTCGGGTCGTGTGTGTTGTAGCAGGAGTGGTAGGAGATTCCAATATTTCCTTACACTCAAATCCTGCCGGAGTTTCTGTGCACAGCTGATCTTCTGAACACCATCCAAAACAAGGATCTGTGTGTATAAATGGAAGTTGTAAAGAAATTTCAAAGAAAGTAAGTAAGAGAGAGAGAGAGAGAGAGACGCAGAGACAGACAGACAGTTTGAGAGAGAAAGTAAAAGCGTTATATAGATATATTTATATATATATGTTATTGAGAGATGAACCACTTTTTGACAATTTTTCATTCATTATTGAATTTTAACCATTTCTTTTAATCAGTGAGTAAATTTCAGATGTCTAGTATCTAGGATCTAAACCTGAAATACGAACTTATCAAATAAATTGCCAATCTTGTCATTTTCTAAATTAATATTTGATGGTTCGTTTGTAAGAATAAAGTAGATGTGAAAGCAGAAGATAAGCGTCTGCCTTAAAAATATTTTTATTTATATATGTATATATAACCTTGCGCAGAGGAGAAAATTACATGCATACAAGAAAAATATTACTGAGAGTGTTAATAGCCAATTTTTTTTACAACATTTCCAAAGATATGGAAATTCATGTTTTTCGTCAGATTAGAGCATTTCCTAAACATCGCCAGAAGGGAATAACGATTTGAAAATAATTATACTAGTATAGGGTTTGAGTCAAAAGCTCTATTACGTAATCTACTCGCAATAACTATTATTATATATCTTGAACAGAAAGTCATTTGTTGAAATTGGGTTGGTGATAAAGTGATTTATAATAATAATAATAATAATAATAATAATAATAATAATAATAATAATAATAATAATAATAATAATAATAATAATAATAATAATAATAATAATAATAAGTGATTTGAAGAGGTTATTGACTGAGATACATTACCTGGACATGGAGCTGTGCCCGGTGCAACCGGCGCGATACAAATACATTGGTTTAGTTCACATCTCTCTCTTCCAGATGTACATTCAGGAACACAGGTAGATGCTATATTAAATAAAAATAATAATAATAATGATAATAATAAAAATAATAACAAAAACAAAAAATAATAAAAATTATGATTTGTGTTATCAAAATGATATTAAATACAAATAATACAATAAGCACAACTACAAATCCTGTATCAATTATACACATTTATTGTATACAATTGTAATAGTTGATTGCCTTTAGTACAAACTTTTGTCCCATTCTATGTAATGTATGCGTTACTTTTTTTCTTTTAAAAAAAATTCAGTTATGAGTTCTGAGTTTTTGATCGATCGGGTGGGTGGTACATGCACAACATTACTTATTATAGGCTCTGAATAAGCTTGGCTTGTTAGAACTCTCGTGAGTAATGTGCCGCGGGATTCCATATCCTCAAACTGCTGGCGAACAGAGCAACAAGACCAAACTCTGTAATTATTAGGATCTCTGTCCAGTAGTGCCGTGTTTGTGCCATCGAACTGGATCGACCAAATCAATTGATTCATAATATATATATATAATATTTTTTCCCGTAACATGAGAGTAATTTTAATAGTTTCATACAATTAATTAAATGTAATGTTAACTGTTATCGTATAATATTTTTAAATGGGGGCACGCTACAAGAGTCCTATCTCGCACCCCGGGGCAACGTGTCTGACACGGCCGGTTGTAGCAACCACTCCGAAGATCAAAATACATTAATCTTGATCAAAGGAGATACGAACGAAGGAACTTAAGAGTAACTATTTGATTAGTTTCACAGAAAGCTAAAATTGTTTTTCGACATTTCACGTCATACTATGTGTGTCAATTTGATAGTATGCCCGGAAGGTCGGGTCAGGCTTATTCACACAGATGTATATTAGTTGGTATTGGTTTCTCTAAACTCGTAAAGGTCTGCGTTCACAGACATCCCGTAGAAACGCGTCGTATCTTCAACATTATTTTAACTTTCAATTCATCTATTAAATTGAATTTCTCACTATGTCATTTTAATAAATAATATGCGGAATATACACAACATATTATTACATTTGGAATAAAGAGGGAATGGGATGTTCAAGAAGTTATACTTCAAATTATTTCTATGCTCTCACTCTATTTCAATCTTTCACAATCATGACAATATCACCTCCTAACTGCCTAACAAATTAACGAATTCAGATTTTCAAGAAAAAAGGTTATTGCGAATTTGTGTATTTCATCTGTGTTAATGTAATCTAACTCACTTGAATTATGATGCTTTAAAAATATTTGTAAAAGATAACATTTGAGAAAGAAAAAAATATATTGATTCCGCTTTCAACACTTTCATTGTGACTTGTTTTTTAAACGTTTTGTCATTTCATTTGCAAGAGATTGAGATTATTAAAAAATCTTTTTTAAAAGAAAGAAGAGAAACAAGATTTTATTGTTTTCTTAAAATAACGTCATTAAGAATTGATTCAACGTTGAGATTTCCTACGAGTTAAACTGAAATTATTCCAAAGAATATTGATTATAAATATACAAATTAAATAAATAAAATGTCAAAAAGTCATTTTGACTAATTTCAACTATGCAACTTGTTGTTAGAAACGTTGAGATTGTACCGAAGACTACCAATTGAAATAAAAAAAAATAAAAATAAGATGCACTCATATTTCTGTTTCAATACCTTCATGTATATTCGATTCAACGTTGTGACCTCCAATTAGATTATTCCAAATTATATTTATTATGAATCCACAAATAACATTAATGTATATTAATGTATCTAGACTCGAGTCAACGTTTTGAGTTTCTAAAAGTAAAACTAAGATTATTCCAAATACTATCAATTACAAACAAATGCATTCCTATTTGTTTCAATACCTTCATTTTCAGTCGATTCAACGTTGTGACTTCCCATGAGGAAGACTGATATTATTCCAAAGCGCAAGATCCACCACGAGAAACAAATTTTAACGTCCATCCTGATAGCGCTGTCATGAGATCAATGGAAAGATTGATCTAAAGGACAATGATAAAACCGTGCACTTATCCTGGCGTTATCTGTCAAACTTTGCCAGTGTAAAAGAAGATAAGCGAACCCTTGGCCTAGGCTCAGGATTTAAATATATATCATTCATATCCTTTATCAACATCTATTAAGTAAATATTGCAGGTGGGAAGGAATTTCTTGAGTGCTCTGAGTAACGAGTTTCATAGCCTATTTAGCTAAAGCTGGGGGGTAATAGAGTAACTAGAACGCCTTGCTTTTTGAATATGTGAGCTACATGTTAATAATTATTACTATTTTATCATTATTATTTTTTTAGCAGTAATAATATTTTAGCATTATTATTATTTTTAGTAGTTTTATTAATTGTAGTAATAATATTTAATTATCATTATTATTATCATTTCATTAATATTATTGTTATTGTTATAATTATTATTGCTGCTATTATGTAGTAGTAATATACCCTTATAATCATAATTGTCATTATTACTATCATCCATGACATATGTAATATTATAACTGACAATTTACAAAGAATTGCATCACGTGAAATTGTGAAAAATAGCGTTTAACAATTGTGTTTCATAACTGTAAAAAACGATGTCTCTAGCTCCACAGCCGAGCAATAATCACACCCTTTAACTACATACCTAGCTTTCAGTATGTATATCTTTTTATGAAACGAGATTTTACCATACCTGATTATATATGCAAGAATAACAGGTGATTTAAAGTATTTATAAAAAACGCGAGGGAAGAAGGCAGATTTATTTAAACCCTAGACCTCTTTGGCCCTTTGCAGGTAAACTGAATGCAATTCATGCAATATATATTGAATGCAAATAACCATTATCATTATCATTATCTTATCATTTTTCTTATTAAGGAAACTATTAAATCGCACAAACAAATCTTTCTGGACTACATCCGTGGTCAAGGGGTAAACATCCGGATCTTATAGATTTCGTAATTTGTTAAGGTTCAAGGAGGAATTCGATTTGTTACAACGAATTTGTAACAAAACGACCAAATTGGTATTCCCCATCGACCATGCATTATGCATCAATCACGATAGAGACAGTCTATCGTTTATTTGTAAATGAAAATCTATTGGCAGATTCAGATGATAACTTACATACACTGTGCATGGAAACTCTTCAACTGTTCAACACATATTTAAACAGTTGGCATAGGGATATTCAACATATAATTTCTTGATCAGTATAAATATTGTTATCTAATCAAACAAACGTATTAACCTTTGATTCCCTTTTGTTGCATGCATATCTTTTTCTCATTATCACCAATAGATCATGCCAGAAACAAAGGTCATGACAAACACACGTACGTCGATATACAGTGTAATATTTTTTCTTCTTATGATTCATAGATACATATCAAGAGTTTATTATTGAGACATGTCAATCAAATCGAAGCAAACAAAGGAGGGATACGATTTGAAACATGTCATCTTGCACTCATCAAAGCATGCCGCAGGAATACAATGTAAAACGGAAACTAAAGGAGCAAAGCGCGAAACAATGACAGGTTTTGATTTGCTGCAAGAAATAACGGGAAGATAGACTAACTGTTTAATGTAATTAGTTGAAGATATAAAGCTTCTCTTCAACGATATTCTTGGATTTTGTAGAACTAATAATCGCTCTAATGACAAATTTAGTACAAACAGAGTTAAATACAAAAGAGATAATACAATATTACAGCATGGTCTATGATAATTTTACACATTTGTGAATGCCGAAAGAAATACGACCAAAAAAAAAACGACCTATTATACTTGTCATTAAAGATAAAGACCAGTTATGGTCATGCGATTGCATTGTGAAAGAAATGTTGTGGAATAGATCAGAAAAGGTTGATCATCTAGCATATAAGTATTGGTGTGTGCTGCAAGGTTCTGGAATCATCAAAATGACAAGAAATTTGGCCCAATATTGGTAAAGTTACAAGCACTGTACACAGAAAGATGTATATGGGACTACGCACACGTGCGCGACAAGTGCGTATATCTCTCACACACCAATAGATAAACTAATTTACCAAATATATCAATCATCATGTATGAGTCAAAACATACTCTTTCACATTATTGGTAATAAGAGCTTCCATTTCATATTTTGAAATTGGGGCACTTCCAATACTGGTCTTTACCTTTAACCATTCTTTTTGCCTTCTACTATTTCCCTCCATTTTTTCCTCTCTTAATTATTCCCCCCCCCCAAAAAAAAAAAAAAAAAAAAAAAAATGTGTAATTTCTTAGCTACATATTTTGTTCTACTTATCGATTTTCTAAGCATACTTTGTTAATGTTATATTGTGAAACAACATCTAAGGAACACCTCAACAAGCTCTGCTTCTAGTTAATTCCTCTTTTATCATGCTTTTTTTCTATTATATTTGTCGTTTCATTGCATATTTATGTAATATAATTATTCATTATATTATGTTTTGCATGAGAAATAAAATCACTTGAATCCTAGAATCATTGAATCATTTGTCTTTAGTAGATAAATTTCAAGCATCAATTTTGAATTGTTAAAACAAGAAATCCACAATATGTTACTTTACTTATTAACCCAATACGGACGAAAGTACGTGATACAAACATTGTGTGTCAGAGGTCTTACCTGTGACGAAATGATTATTGTATTCTAATTAGTTTATATCCGTCTATTATATGAAGTGGCACATTGTCATAACAATGATCACCATGTTATAACGTGATGGTAGATTTTCAACAAGTGTAAAACCATTGTTTTTTTACTACTCTGATTATTACTCGATTAAAACAATTCATGTAGGGTAGGTGCAGGGAATTGGAGACCCTTAAGCACATTTACATAATTTACATAAACATGAAAAATGTTACACATACAGAAAGTTTTGTATTCTCTTCAGTATCTTCTTCTCTTTATTTGGTAACAAAATTGTGGGCATGACGTAACTGATTAATAAGATAACAATGATTAGGGACGTCAGCACCAAAGGTCTCTCATTACCTGGATGTGCAGGTAATAAGGGACCGTTACAAATCAAGACATTTTAAATACAATTCGAATAAAAATGGGATTGTTATGGTTAGTTCAAACACTTTTTGAAAGAGAAATATGCAGCAAATAAACTTACTGTAATTTTGAAACGATTTTAAAACAATGTGGCCCAAAATATTTCTGTACATGGACAATTAACCAACCAGCATCGGGTCATTGACTGTCCTCGGCATACTCGACATTCACAACAAACGATCCCCATCTATCTCTCTTCCTCTTTCTCTCTCTTCGACTTTCTCCTTCTTTTTATCTTTTAACCTTACCTTTTCTCTCTTCTAGCATGTACTTGTATGATGATTATTGTTGTCTCGCCGAAGTTTGACTCTCTTAATTTCCATTAATGTATTTACACACGTAATTAGGAATAATATGTTTATTTAATTATGATCATTCCATTCCCTGCTCTCTCTCTCTCTCTCTCTCTCTCTCTCTCTATCTCCCCCTCTCTCCTTTTTCTCTTTGTACCTCCCATTTTCTCTCATCCTCTCTCTCTCTCTCTACTCCATTCGCTTTATCACTCTCACTTTCATGAGCCGTTTACCTTCCCCTGCTCTTGTATATCTTCTGCTAGTACTAGGGTGATCACACTGCCTGTGCACACAGTCTGCCCCATGCACATACACACACACAACATCAGTCAGTTGGTAGAAATTGCAATTTTCGTAAATTTATTAAAAAAAAAACTGAACAATATTTTTAAATTTTTATTTCACATATCTTTCAAGCATACCTTTAACTTCAATTCTGTGTAGTTTCATTGTTATAGGCATGTGTAAAATATGTTAAATTATTAATTATAATATTGTCTTTTCAGCCATGTATGACATGGCCCGCTGATCGCCCATTTACTGTTATTCTGCGTGGTGAAAATGCACTTCAATGTATAAAACTCCCCTACAAAAATGCAATATCCTTATAGGTTTCACTCATTGAATCAATTTGTTATTTACACTCAAGGTAGCCACAACTATATTTGGGTCACCAAATTTTGTTTTTCTCTAAAATTTAGTTCCTGTATAATGTTATGGCCTGTTGAATTGAAGGGTTTCTCGGAAAATCGTCATAAATCCTCAAATCTGACATTTGTTTAAAAAAAACTATACTGTGATGTAGCTGAAAGTCTGCAAATTATTATCATTTGTTCGGTTTTTCTGAAAAATTTGTGAAACATATGAGGAAATAGCTGTAACGGTGATCCAAGTAATTTCCATCGCCATATTTTATTGGCATTGCAAAAATATTTGGTGTAAATATGATCTATAAATATATGATTTTAAAAAATGCCCCAAAAATGAACAGTTTGAAATTCCTATATATATATATAAAATTAGCTGAAATGACCTAATTTGCATATTTGATGAATATTCATAATATTTTTTTTCTTCAAATTTTTTTTTTTTTTTTTCCATACCTGTCTGATATACATATGTTTCACTGATGTATCATGTTAGGTTTTGATTTGATTACATATGCGCATATTAATTAGACGGACATCGCTATTTTCACAATTTTTACATATCTGCAGATTCGCAAAAATGGCAAAAATGACTTATTTTTGTTTGCTTCTGTTTTCAAAACGGTAATAGATGTATGAATTTTCTTTTTTTGTATTTTTTACCACAAAGATGATATTTTAGTATCTGATAATTTAATTTATTATTTGTGTCCAAGAAAATGATGAATTAAGTTGTCAAGTATGTCGAATTTTGCCATTTTTGCCAATTTGACCATTTCTGGCAGGTTTTTCGGTAATTTTGCGATATCAAAAAAATGGTATAAAATCACGACGCATTGAGCGATTTCAATTCTGTTTTTTTTTTGTTTTTTGAAGCTTTCATAAAGCTTGATCATTTGCAATCATCAAATAACATGCTTTTGTTGTACTTATACTTATTATCTGCATACACCACATCATTCAGTGAAAATTGTGTTTTTATATCAGAGCAAAATGTTACGATCAAAATTGGTTACCTTGGTCAATTTTGCCAATTTTGCCAATTTTCTCAGGGAAAGAGCACATTTTACTCCTCGAAATGAATGTGATATATGCAGTAGTGTTGTTAAAGGCCACAAATGGCGCTATAGCAATATTGGAGCCAACACGAACATACAGCGATGGGTTCAAGCTTGGTGGTCTCCAATGCCCTGCGGTCTCCAATTCCCTGCACCTACCCTATGCATAAATAATTCCTACTGCTTTCGACGCCTACTCCGTTGAGAATTGCTTAGCGGTCAATTGTCTATAATATCCAAATTCCTAGCTTTTACCATCGACCCCATCACTATACCCGACCATAATGCCTAACCCCTAATCTAAGACTTAACTGCAACTCTAATTCGAAACCCGAATATGTTGACAATGTAAAGGTCGGAGCAATCGGCAGGCGGACTTTAATATAATGTCAGAAAATTCATGTATTTCTTCTGCATAGTCAAATTTACAATTGATAATTGAAAATGGTGAATGATCCAACTACCTCAAGAGATATAATAACCTAGAATGGTCAAGGAAAACAGAGTGGACTAACTTTCCAACTGTCGATTTTTTGTTTTTGGGTGTTCCTTATGTGCCAACGGCAAAACGTTTGACCAAAACAGCACCTTAATTTGTGAGAAACTTTCTCTCTCACTACACCTACCTACCTATCTATTTATCTACCTTTCTGTCTTTATCTCTGTCTCTGTGCATTACTGTCTGTATCCTCTCCCTATCTCTCTTTATTAAGCTTATCTGAGAGATATTTTTTGACATGGTTCCACCCCCCCCCCATGCAAGAGATTCTTGGATCTGCCACATAGCTCCTTGCGGTATTTGCAACATGATCAGAAATTCTAGAAAATATTTAATTATTAATCGATTAAAGTTAGATATTTCACGACATAAGTCTTAAGGTTAGATAGTTTACTAATTTGTAGCCTTTGGTAAAACCAATATTTCTTTAGGGTGCGTGATTGACTTCCAGATTACACAGATAAGTGACACCGGCATGATGAGACTAATAGCGCCTCCAACGACCAAGACTGTAATCAATATCCATGTAGCTAAAATAAATATTTAAAAAACAAACCAACCAATATTATTTCAAATTTTTTTAAATTTTATTTTACAATTTAAATGGTATATTGCGGGGACATATGTAGACCTTATGCGTCTACATTTTTAATTTTTATAGCAAGGTACGTAACATCGAATATGACTTTCGCAATTTATGCAAGGTGAGTGACAATAATTTTATGTTCGTAGTTTGGTTAGAAACTGATGTTGTTGTTCATGCTTTCATTTTTAAAGGTAAACAATACCTTCTTTGGGTATTTTAAGGACTAAGTTTTACATGCTCTAAATCTCGAAAAAGAGATAGATATTATTTACTTAATACAATTAATTCGCCAATCGAAATAGATTTGATAATAACGATTGCATTTTTGATCTATTTTATAAAATGATTATTTTTCGTAATAAGCATGGGTGTAATAAAATGGAATTGAATTTTATATATTTATTTGAGAAAAAAAAAGACTCACAGACTAAAAATAGATACATGTCGGAAAGTACAAATTAGCACTTTCCTGCAAATTTGCTAACTAAAGTGTTATTCGTAAAAATGTGTATTATTGACGTTCCATTGTTCTGCTAAATTGTTTGGGAAATTATGATTTTAAAAAAAATATTGAATATACACCTCATTCGAGGCAAAGAGAAGCTAATTGTAACAAAAATCTTTGTCTTATATAATGTACAGTTTTCCAAATAAAAACAAGTTCATGGAAATAAATGTATTTACCTGGTTCGGTGATGGATTGCGATATATGTGCGTTTTGATTAACATTATTATACAGAATAGGAACACAAGATATTGGGTATTAAAATTATGAAAGACTCTCTGTCTTTTGATGGGAGAAAAGGAAAAGGGGAGGGATGGGCCAAAGGGGGGGGGGGGGCGGGGGGCAAATAAATCGTTCGTACTACCTGACCTATTCCCTAATGAACTTCAAACCCTTTTCTCTCTCAAACAACCGCTTGAAATGTCCTGGAGACTTATTCGTGATCTTCACACTTTTATTCTCAAATCGTCTCATACTATCAACGAATTGATTAAAATCAGTTTTAAGAAGAAAACAAAAAGAGAAACGCACGATGGGAAAAAACACATTGTAGCACGTAGAATATAAATGAAAATTTTGACAAAAACCTATTTTAATGTATTTCTTTCTTTCTGTTTAGACAACTGAAAGCAATTTCTATGTAAAATAAAAAAAAGTAAAGATAATTTATAATTTGTACTGTATTCTTAAACAAATATTACATAATAAACTTTAAATTGTATTTATTATACAGTCTTCTTTAAAATACAGGGTAGTCCATTTCTGATCCGCAATGCCTGCTTTTGAAGGGAGCCCTGTAGGCAAGTGACAATGTAAATAGTAAACATTTCATCAGCAAAAAAACAACAAAAAAACATTGACACAATACATAATATTCAGTTATTTACTACTAATTAAATTATGTACAATAACACAAAACAGATTTCACATTGAAAAGACCAACTGCATACAGTTAAATCTAGATTAAAATAAACCTAAACAAGCAAGGACAAATGAATATATTCATCAATTAATCAAAACAAGTTCACATAAATTTATAAACTTGCACTGATGCAATGAAACCAAACAAAAATAAAAACGCACTAAAATATTCAGGATTAAGAAAGCTATTTCACGTTTTTTTTAGTTTGATAATTTAAATAGACCTGAAGTCAACATTTACCATTCTCTACAGTTATTTATAAAACAAGTAGGTGGTTATATCAATATTTTACATACATTATACTAAAATAAACCAACTGTTATTCTTTGTTGGTTAAATTGAAATCTTTTGAACCAAAATAACGTACTTCCGGGCTTCTGACAGCACAGCCTTCAATTATAAGCGAATTGTAATTGGACTTTATTACTTACATTTAAGTTTGGAAAATTGATTTAAAAAACATTAAAAAAAAAATACAATCTTAAGTTATTTCACAAATCTCTACAGTTCACACAAAACATTCAAACATTGTATTTAGAACATTGCATTTGAAATTACATGCAAATACTGCAACAGGGTGGAATTTTTTGTATACATTCTATTTTGGCGTTAAGAAAAATATCAAATCTATACTGTTTATGATTTATACATCTATGTTAATGAAAAAGTATAAGTTGCTGGATATGACATCGATAACGAAAATATGATTCTACTTAACATTATTTGATTTTGACTCAATATGCAATCTATATGCTGTATGTCTGAAGTATTTTAAAATCTTTACAATTAACAACAATTCAAGAGTTATGTTTTTGTATGTAAGCAGATTTTGAAATACCTCGTACAAATAAAAACAGCTTAACTCTCTGAGGGAAGGTGTGAGAGATTAAAAAAATAAAAAATCTGAATAACATTATGTAAAAAAAGTACGAAACGATTTGAACAAATGTTTTATCGTAATATTTCTTTAATTTCTTCAATGATGTAATTTGTATATAAAGTTATTATTAAGCTAAACATTCCTTGTAAGGTGATTACAATTTTTTTGTAATCGTCACCAAAATCTTTATCATGAAATGGCAACAATTCAGCTAAAGTTTAACATTAAACGTATCATAAATTAATTATCCGACTGTATTTATATATTAACATGCGTTTAGGTTTACATTATATTCCCTAAACTTTGAATTAATACGTAATTACCTAAATTCATTTAGAGCAATTATCATAACGATTTTTCGCTTCTACGCTATCAACGTTTAAATGATATTAGCGTTAGTAACTAAATGGCAACTCATCGATTCAATATTTGTTTGTTTGTTTGTTTTTTTACGGTAATTACAAAACATGCTTTCAGTTTGGCATAGCTGTTTTCAGCATGTACCTACATGGTAGCCTACATTGAAATACATATGAATAAACAGATAAAAAACAAAATTAAACAATAACAATATATAACATTTACATAAATAAATGTAAAGACAAAATATATAATACATATTTAAAAAAGAGAAATATAAAGCAAGTTAAACAAAAAATTCAACAAAAAAGAAAATACATGAATAACTAGAAAGGTACAGATTTAGTTGAGAAACACTATATCATCAGTATTTTTTTCAAAATGTAAAAATGATGCTGGATCGAACTGGACCGCTTATCGCCTACCATAGCAAGCAAACCAGAACGATGTTGATGCACGCAGACCTCTGGGACGCTTCCAATGAGATGAAAAGACCAAGCTCGGTACGATGTGGGATTACCCACATAAGAGGCGGAGAAACAAGCCCAGGGCAGATCAGAATGGAGCATGATTTTTCGTAGGGGAGGCTCGGCTGGGACAAAGTTAGTAAGTCAATGATATAAACATTTAGGTAACCTGTTCAGCACTTCGGGTCTTCAAACATCCTGCAACAGATCGTCTAGCAGCACGTGCATTGCAACTGCCGAACTGCTTTGGGTTCTAGTCATGTTATCTTCGGACTTTTCTTCGGACGGTTTCGGATTGGATTCGTCATCAATGGCCTGATTGATAGTCTAGACTTCCGATTCTGTCATTTCGTTTAGAATAGCAGACTGGTAAACATACAAACTCGGAGGATTTTTGTGCCAGGGAAGGTGCTGCGGTAAGATTGAGATTAGTTAACATTATTTCACTGCCTTTTAAATGTTATCTCCGTTTCTTATATACTAGGGTTTTATACTCTCTGGGCCTCTTGATACCTATTCAAGTCGATGCACATTATGATCACCCATACATTTGGGGGCGTAAAAATGGGTTTGTTAGTGATATGTAAATATATCATCGTGTGGTCTTTGGCACATTTGCTTCGTGTACACAAACTCAACGTCCTGGACAGTTATCTCTGCCTCGTTTTATCTCATCGTTTTTATTGTGTTGATGGTGAGCTTATTTGGCATATTTGTGTTAATAATTCCTGATATGGCTCACAATAAATTGTAGTGAATTTTACCCCTACAACAATATATAAAGCAGTATGATATCATGGCACATACCACATCATGTAGATCTGTTTCATCTAAGTTATTGCCTGGTGAGTGTCTTAGACGATCTTCGATATCTCGAAACGACCCTTCACTTGATGGCTTAGTGTACCGCTGTACTATTATTAGAATGACGATAGCTGAGAGAAGTATCGACACCAAACAAGCACCGGTAATGATGACGATGAATTCCCAGTCAACTATAATAGAGAGAGAGAGAGAGAGAGAGGGGAGAGGGAGAGAGAGGGATAGAAAGAGAGAAAGAGAGGGGGAATAGAGATGTGTGTAAAATGTTGCAATTATCTTCTGAGCTTGGAAAGATACCTTGATATATACAAGTTATTAGAAGGACAGCATCATCGAGTCATTAAATCATCTGTTTTCCATTCCGAAATAAAATACATATGCACGCATAATAATATCGACAGAAGAAATCTGAGGGACATGATGATTGACTTTCTTTGTCTTCGTCAAGGCACATGGAAATGATAATGTAATTATAATCTACATAATACGTGCGATGCGAATAAAGCACTTACTATCATTGTCTACTGGTTGACCCAATGTACTTTGGGTAAACGCTGTCCCTGTTGTCGTGGATGAAGCATCTGAAAATGAAGAAATATAATTCTGTTGACTAAATACTGAATTACAGTTAGGGTAATAAAAGCATATAAAGTGCACATTTTGGGGGAGAGGGGGGGGGGGGGGGGGGGGGAGGGGCTTACTTCCTCGGGAGTGGATTCCACTCCAAATTACAGTCTGATGCATTCTTCTGTTGAGAGTGGATTCCGCTCCAAATTGTAGTGAGATGCGTTGCTGAGTACTTTGTGAAAGTGGATTTCACTCCAAATTATAGTGAGATGCATTCGTAAGTACTCTCCTAAGAGTTGATATCAAATCTAAACGAAATGATCCTTTGAATGTTCCCCCCCAACCTAAAGAAAATGTCCACTCTAATATATTTTAGGAGTAGAGAGGGCTAATTCAGGAAAGTATATTAACATTTAAAGTCGATTTTTGGGGGTCAGGGTCTAATATCCGTGGTGTTCTTCTCCTCTTCTATCTATGATTCAAAATCCACATTTAAAAAGCAAGACACAAACGCTAATTAGAAAACAAGAAAACCTGAGGGGTATGTTATTTAAAATCATATGCTCGTTAGTCAAGATAAGTGTGCATATTACTTTTTGATATTGTTTAAGATGTTACAAATTTCTAAATCTTGGTCGCTTAGTTTTCTCGCATATGATTCGTCATGATTCCTAGATACGCCACCGCACACAGATGTTTTCCAAAAAATGTTTTACCTAATCAGCAACCCTTGATAGCCATGATAGCATACATTTAAATCGAATGTAAAGAAACATCATTAGTAATATTAAGACAGGAAAACAAAGTAAATAAAATTCGAATCCGCACTGGGTACTTGACGAATAATAAGAACCCTAGAAGAATAATTACAAGTCTTACTGGATGTTACAGGCTGACAGTACGTTCCCACTGGGTAGTTTTCTACGTTAGTGTAGCCATCATTACATGAACACTCATAGCCATTTGATCCAAGATCCGTACAAGTTGCAAGAGATGAACAGTCGTCAATTTCCAGTTCACACTCATTCGTTGCTGAATAGGACACACAGTAAAGTTAATACATAAACACGGCATCATTATTGAAGAGAGACAAATAAGTGGAATAAGACAAAAAGTAAAATATTGACATATATGTCCTTTTATCATTTAAGCAGTTCTTTCAATGATCGACTAGGCATATTTGTTCCCAATAATAATATCTATAAAAAAAAAGTGCGCGTATCGACTTTACCCCCAAACTTTTCCAAGTACCCTAGAAGTGCCCCTTTGTACATCGGAAAAGTGCCCCTTTTAATTCAGATAAGTGCCTCTGTTTATTTATAAAAGTGCGCCTAAGGTTCACTAATGGTAATTACCTCAATTCAATTCCGAGAGGTGCCCCCTTTTACTTTTAATTCAGGTACCCTTTTCCCTTGTAATAATTAGTGCCCCTTCCACTTCTGATACGTTCCGCATTTTATCTCAGTTGAGTGCCCCTTTTCATCTCTGATAAGTACCTCCTTTTATTTTGCCATTCGCCTCTTTTTAATTTCGAATAAAAGTCCCCTTTCCTTTCGTATAAATGACCCCTTCCTCTCCTCTTAAAGGTATAGACCAGTTTTGGAAACGCCCCCCCCCCCTCTCAAAAAATGAAACGGAAGCTCTTATTACCAATCATGTGAAATAATATGTTTTGACTAATACGTGATGATACAAATTTTGCCGAGAAACCGCCTACTAATTTATATATTTGGACCTGATAGATATCACGCACGTGTCGCGCATGTGTCGCGTTGTCCCATATACACCTTCCTGTGTGCAGTACTTGCAACTTTACGAAGACTGGGCCAAATTTGTGCCCTTATTTATCTCAGGTAAGTGCTCCCTAGTTTTAGGTACAAGAAGTGCCCCTTACTACTTCTGATAATAACTCTTTCACCTCTTATAATTGCCTTCTTAATAAATCTGAGATGTACCCCTTTTATTTTGACAAGTTTTTATATTCCTCTGAATGCTCCCTTTTTATCTCTGGTAAGTGACCTTATTCAATTTTGAAAGATGCCCTTTTATTTTGACACGTGCCCGTTTCCCTTTCTAATAAAGGCTGATATTCCTTCTGATATCGTTTTTGATATGCGCCTTCGCCTTCTAATAAATACTCTTTTCACCTTTAAAGAGTACCCCTCCTATTTGAGAGGTGCCCCCATTTCCTTTGTAATAAGTGCCCCATTTTCAAAAATGCTTATTTCATCTCGCCAATGGACGGTAATGCCTGGCTGGGATTCGAAGCCTCAATTCTTAGATTGAGAGTCGATTGAACGAACCATTGTGCAGCGACACCTCAGCATTACCTTACGCTGTTCTTGTAGAACTCTTTGGGAGCAAGCTAGTGATATCTAAGACAAATCAATCTTAAACTTACGTATTACTCGATAGTTAGACAAAGTGAAGACTGATGACCCGTCAGACAGGTTACCACCAGTTCTTTCTATCTCATTCTCAAGTTCCTCTAGTAGTATTTGGTCTGTTACATTGGTCTCGGGATCGAATAGGAGATTGATGTCTGCGATGATACTACCAGAACTGAACTTGATGACGGTGCATCCATAGTAATCGGTCAACGTATCAGCGTATATGCCATCAACCTATGAGATTTAAATTGTAGTTTAAGCTTCTACTAACCTTAAGTACTAATAGGCAAGCTTTTATTCATCACGTGGACTTTCTTGCTGTATCCTGCCTCTGGATTATAATTATAATAATAATACTCAGTTTTTATATAGCGTTTATTAGAATCACTAATCGCTTCCAAACTTGGAGATTATTACCCCCGCTTTAGCTTTGCTGCCATTGCTCTAGCATTTTAAAGAATTAATTCCTGCCAGGTACCCATTTACATCACCTGGGTTGAGTGTGACAAATGAAGATCAATGTCTTGCCAAAGGACATTAGTGTCGCGGCGGGTATCGAACCGCGGACCTTGTGATCGACAGTCCGGCGACTTAACCAGTCGACCACGGCACCTAGAGTGATTATTACCTCATTAGAGTGATAGTTGATATTTGACAGACAGAAGCTTGCTTATTACATTTCAAGGTTGTTAGAAGCTATGCCTCTATTTTATAATTACCCAAACACCGTTCATGATAACTCGATGAGCATAATTATCTTTGATGTCGAACGAGGAAGTTATAAGAAGATAATTATTTTTTTGTTTGTATAGTTAGATATGCTACTAATTGGGTAGATTTTTGTTTCTAAGAGAAAATCGCAAATATAAAGAGACGTTGTCCAGTAGTAATGATGGTCATCCCATAACACGCTTACCATGTTACATATCTCTGATTCCAACATGATAAAACTCTCACTCTCCCTGTTCGTAAGGTCATCAGAGAATTCTACTGACGTGCCGTTGACTGTTTCTATCTCCATGGTCGCAAGAAAAGTCGAAGATTCTGAAGAGATTAAACAAAACGGAGGATCATATCATGGCAACTATGAGAAGTACTAACGGTTCGATATAAATAAACATACTTTGTAGATGTAGTAGTCTTTTCAAGAGGGTAGTTGTTTTATAAACGCAAGATTTCCATCGTTTGATGTAGTGCATAGGAAGCAGTCGCAACAAATATACACATACCCGATTTCTGGCACCTCCCCAATTTTTTTCCAAACTAATAAATTGTCCCTTTAGAACTGAAAAACGCCCCTCTTACATTTTAAAAGGTTGCCTATCCTGAAAGAAAGAACAAAATAAAATATTCTGATGTTTCTGTCCTGCCTATTGTTTTAATTAGACAACATATTTCCTCTTCGTTACAATATCATAAAGTGCTCTTTACTGTGATTCTTGTTGAAATATCATCTGATTGTCCGCTCTCTTCTTATCAAAGTCTCAGTTCTGTAAAATACCCAAATCACTGTTACAATTATAGACCCATTAAATACAATGTATGCCCTTTTATCTTTTCCCTCACCATATACAATATCTAAACTATCCTTTATGTGATACTTATGGAATATATTGTCCCCTTATCTTTAATAATATGCCACAAACATATCTCCCTGTCCCACATTGTATTGATCATGGGACACCAAGAGCTTCGAGATCATTTACTGTTTTTAGTTTAATTTTAATATATATAATCGTGTTGTAAAGGTTGCCATGGACTTAATCAAGACAAGAAATGCGTAATCTTGAAAAGCAATTGTTGCACAAAGCAATTTTTTCCGCCAACTGGTGCCCATTGTTTTGCACGTATGGCAAACGAGGGACTATGAAAAGAAGCGACAAAGGCAAGGTAAGATTAAACGGCGACTTTTGTTTGTACTTACCCACGCAAGTGTCACCTGAAAGATAATACCCAGGGCGGCATTGACATTGAAATCCTCCACTAGTCTCCTCGCAGGTCTGGCTGTCGCGATCACATTGACCGAAACACGGATCTAGATAGTAAAATAATATTGGTTCACCCTCATAATGTATTGCTATATACCTGCCAATAACTTAGTACCCATATTCGGTATCATGCAAGATGGCTAAAAGCAGGACTGCACTACTCATATAGCAAACAATGCACAATCGGTACCCGTTTGTCCCCCATGGTCCCCCTTTTCTTATGTTAATTTAGAGATGGTTTGATGAGATAACCACCTGCCACTGACCGTGCAGGATGGTCAAATCCCTCCTGGCGAAACTAGTGCAGAGGGGCCTTAAGGGATGACGAATGTTAATAGTCATCTTAATAGTGAATAACTGTATCCCTTATTGATGTAATTTTTATAGGTTTGTGAAATACTAAATATGCTCGTCGGGCAATCACATGGTATTGAATTTAATTTGAATAAGTGATTTTGCTTTTCAAGATTGATTGAGAAATAGTTATAGCAATTTCTGCCATGCTTAGGCATATATCCTTGACCTTCGGAATTTCCATTCTAGTTTTCAAACCATTTGACTGTGGATAATCTACCATTAGCTCTGATATTTATCTCTGTCAAGTTGGTTCTGTTGGTATCGTATCTGATATCAAACCACACAGTTTGGTTAAGAGCGAGCGAACGATCTTATATTCAATTCTACGATTATTATAGTAAATATTGATGAACCTCTTTGTGTTACTTTATCGCATATGACAGAACAAGACTGCAAAGAAATCTGCTAGTACAAAATTCAACATTAACATAATGTAATTGAATTGAGATCAGAAGTTAAACTCTCAAACATCTCCATTACAAATAACCCTAACCGATAACATCATAGACATAATATGAATATAATTAGGATTTTAATAGGCACGCATATGTCATATACATAATTATAGACTGTTGGTCATGAAGGTGAAATACTAAAGGTGAATCATGGAGATATCTCCATGGGTGAATAAAGCATGTGTGTGCTACTATGCTAGTCAACTAGGGGACCTACGCTCTTAATTCAAAACTGACATTAATGAGGATTAATGCCTTACAAAAGGGCACTAATATAGCTGGTCGACACGGTTTTGATTCTGGGGCCTCGTAGTAACGAGGCCATTGTTTAGTCCCTGAACCATAACTGTACGCAGCGGGGGCTAGGGTACGGGGCCGCCCCCACAAATACAAATAAACGAATAAAATGCGATACATTATCAATAATTCATTGTATTTTACCCCAGTCTCCAATAGGACAAATTCCTCTGTAGGGCAATGCCTTATAGTTCAAGGTGATTAAAGTATCCGAATCAGATACCTGCGGCTTACAAGTATATTTAAAGGAAATATTATGGAGGGCAAATGTTGAAAAGCATCATCTCTGGAAAAAATGTTGACAAACAAGTATAACTAATTTTGTGATATTAGTATAATTCATGTGTTTTTCTTTGTAATCGAGATAGTTGTGTGTCTCTTATGTACATATTATTATTCAATTAATAATTGATGGAAAAAAAGGAAAACGAATGTATATTAGCTCTTTGGGCATATTTTAGATCGAATAAAAATAGCGAATGTATCGACTATTCGGCAGAATGAAATTAGACACTCACCCTGGCATTCTTCCCCCGGTGGGGGCGGGAAAGGTACTTTACAAACACATTCGTCACTCAAGCATTCCTGATCCCATGAATTACACAGTCCGTCACATGGTAACGACACAGCTTCGTAAAGGGGAGAGGAAAATAGGAATAACGAATAAAATTGATAAAATAAAATTTACTGAAATTACTGTACATTCAAAGTGACTATCATTGAAGAGTATGAGATTGTACTGAATACAACATTGAAACTGAGACAAATGCACAATAATCCAGGATCGGTTATCGTAGTGAGAACAAAAAAGTACATTGACCTCTTATCATATTTACCAAATTGCCACTCAAATTATGTGAACAAGGCACAATATTTGTTTTTAATTAATTTATGATTGAATAAGAGAACCATAAAATATATTAATCATTAAGTACTAAATCAAATCGAGAAGTAACTTTAAAAAGAAAAAAAGAAAGAAAGTTGATGTGATACTAAATAAATTAAATACGTGAGAATAATCCAAACTCATTCATCCATGATGAATATCAGCTCGTTTTGAACAAGAAATTGGTATTTTTATTATTTTATCTAAACTACTTCTTAAAGGTACTATGTCCCATTTGCAGGCCTCCAAAAATGAAAAGGTTATTATACCAACGGTATTTGAAAGATATTACTAATTTAGAACTTCCCTAAAAAAGGTGGGACTCGAAAATGTCTTCAAGTGGGAAAATAACGACTATTAGTTGTCAAATCGATTTAGGAGCTATAGAGCCAATAAGTAATAGTCTTGATTTTCAGACCATTCTACCGAATGGTCATACGTTTTATGCTGTGCAAAGATTCAATCAGTTACATTTTGGCCGTCATAACAAGTGGGTTATTGATGTAGACAAATGCTCATGTACCCTTTAAAGCTCATTTTATACATGTTATTACCAAATAATACAAAACATGTGAAGTCTAGCAAGTAAACGGGTTTCCTTGCATAATTTGAATATTAGGACACTGCTAACGTTTAAATTTTCACAGATATGACATACATGACATATTCATAATTCCTGCAAAGTTCTACATAATTTGAGGTTGGCTGCAAAATGGACATAGCACCTTTAAATGAATTTAGTGGCATTTGCAATTTGTTCATAATACTCAAAGAAACTACCCGATTAAGGTCGCAGATAATGAAAAGTGTATTGCCTAAAAATAAACGAAATAACAGACATCAACGAGAAAAAAAATAACAAAGAAAGGAAAAAAGAAACATATAACGGATAAGTGAACTTACGAGTAGTTTGTTCTGTGGTTGTTTGTGATGAAGTTGGCGTGGTAGGAAGATCAGAAGTGGTAGGCCCTTGTGTTGTTTTTGGCTTTGTTGAAGTAGTTTGGTGCGGTGTAGTTTGTGTTGCAGTCGGAGTGGATGGGGAATCAGAAGTGGTAGGCTCCTGTGTTGTTTCCGACTCTATTGGAGTAGTTTGTTCTTGAGTCGTTGATGCGGCAGAGGGAGTGGTTTGAGAATCAGAAATGGTAGGCTCCTGTGTTTGTTCCCGCTCTGTTGGAGTAGTTTGTTCTTGAGTCGTTGACGCGGCAGTGGGAGTGGTTTGAGAATCAGAAGTGGTAGGCTCCTGTGTTGTTTCCGGCTCTATTGGAGTAGTTTTTTCTTGAGTCGTTGATGCTGCAGTGGGAGTGGTTTGAGAATCAGAAATGGTGGGCTCCTGTGTTGTTTCCGGCTCTATTGGAGTAGTTTGTTCATGAGTCGTTGATGCTGCAGAGGGAGTGGTTTGAGAATCAGAAGTGGTAGGCTCCTGAGTCGTTTCTGGCTCTGTTGGAGTAGATTGTTCTTGAGTCGTTGATGCTGCAGTGGGAGTGGTTTGAGAATCAGAAGTGGTGGGCTCCTGTGTTGTTTTCGGCTCTGTTGGAGTAGTTTGGTCTGGGGTTGTTTTATCTTTGGTTGTTTGTTTCAGAGTGGTGGGCTCTTGTGTTGTGTCCGGCTCTGTTGGAGTAGTTTGTTCGGGGGTTGTTTGGTTCAGAGTGGTGGGCTCCTGTGTTGTGTCCTGCTCTGTTGGAGTAGTCTGTTCAGGGTTGTTTGTTTCAGAGTGGTGGGCTCCTGTGTTGTTTCCGGCTCTGTTGGAGTAGTTTGTTCAGGGGTTGTTTGTTTCAGAGTGATGGGCTCATGTGTTGTTCCCCGCTCTGTTGGAGTGGTTTGTTCAGGGGTTGTTTGTTTCAGTGTGGTGGGCTCCTGTGTTGTTTCCGGCACTGTTGGAGTAGTTTGTTTAGGGGTTGTTTGTTTTAGAGTGGTGGGCTCCTGTGTTGTTTCCCGCTCTGTTGGAGTAGTTTGATCTGGGGTTGTTTGTTTCAGAGTGGTGGGATCCGGTGTTGTTTCCGGCTCTGTTGGAGGAGTTTGTTCAGGGGTTGTGTGTTTCAGAGTGGTGGGCTCCTGTGTTGTTTCCGGCTCTGTTGGAGTAGTTTTTTCAGGGGTTGTTAGTTTCAGAGTGGTGGGCTCCTGTGTTGTTTCCGGCTCTGTTCGAGTAGTTTGTTCAGGGGTTGTTTGTTTCAGAGTGGTGGGCTCCTGTGTTGTTTCCGGCTCTGTTGGAGCAGTTTGTATAGGGGTTGTTTGTTTCAGAGTGGTGGGCTCCTGTGTTGTTTCCGGCTCTGTTGGAGTGGTTTGTTCAGGGGTTGTTTGTTTCAGAGTGGTGGGATCCGGTGTTGTATCCGGCTCTGTTGGAGTAGTTTGTTCAGGGGTTGTGTGTTTCAGAGTGGTGGGCTCCTGTGTTGTTTCCGGCTCTGTTGGAGTAGTTTGTTCAGGGGTTGTTAGTTTCAGAGTGGTGGGCTCCTGTGTTGTTTCCCGCTCTGTTGGAGTGGTTTGGTCTGGGGTTGTTTGTTTCAGAGTGGTGGGATCCGGTGTTGTTTCCGGCTCCGTTGGAGTAGTTTGTTCAGGGGTTGTTTGTTTCAGAGTGATGGGCTCCTGTGTTGTTTTCGGCTCTGTTGGAGTAGTTTGTTCAGGGGTTGTTTGTTTCAGAGTGGTGGGATCCGGTGTTGTATCCGGCTCTGTTGGAGTAGTCTGTTCAGGGGTTGTTTGTTTCAGAGTGGTGGGCTCCTGTGTTGTTTCCGGCTCTGTTGGAGTAGTTTGTTCAGGGGTTGTTTGTTTCAGACTGGTGGGCTCCTGTGTTGTTTCCCGCTCTGTTGGAGTAGTTTGTTCAGGGGTTGTGTGTTTCAGAGTGGTGGGCTTCTGTGTTGTTTCAGGCTCTGTTGGAGTAGTTTGTTCAGGGGTTGTTTGTTTCAGAGTGATGGGCTCCTGTGTTGTTTCCGGCTCTGTTGGAGTAGTTTGTTCAGGGGTTGTTTGTTTCAGAGTGGTGGGCTCCTGTGTTGTATCCGGCTCTGTTGGAGTAGTCTGTTCAGAGGTTGTTTGTTTCAGAGTGGTTGGCTTATGAGTTGTTTCCGCGTCTCTTGGAGTAGTTTGGGCTGGGGTTGTTTTTTCTTTGGTTATTTGTTTCAGAGTTGTTGGCTCCTGTGTTGTTTCCGGCTCTTTTGGAGTAGTTTGTTCGAGGGTTATTTGTTTCAGAGTGGTGGGCTCCTGTGTTGTTTCCGGCTCTGTTAGAGTAGTTTGTTCAGGTGTTGTTAGTTTTGGAGTGGTAGGATAATCGGAAGTAGTAGGCTCCTTAGTTGTTTCCGGCTCTGTTGGAGTAGTTTCTTCTGGAGTTGTTGGTTTTGGAGTGGTAGGAGTATCAGGAGTGGTATGCTCTGTTAGAGTAGTTTGTTCCGGAGTTGTCGGTTTTGAAGTGGTACGATAAACGGAAGTGGTAGGCTCCTGTGTTGTTTCCTGCTCTACTGGAGAAATTATTCTGTGGGTTGTTGTTTTTGCAGTTGTAGGATAATTAAAAGTTGTAGGCTCCTGAGTTGTTTCAGGCTCTTCCTCTGGAGTTGTTGGTTTTGGAGTGGTAGGAGTATCAAAAGTGGTAGGCTTCTGAGTCTTTTCCGGCTCTGTTGGAGTAGTTTGGTCAGGGGTTGTTTGTTTTGAAGTGGTAGGATAATCCGAAGTGGTAGGCTCCTGTGTTGTTTCCGGCTCTGTTAGAGTAATTTGTTCTACAGTTGTTTGTTTTGGCGTGGTGGGAAAATCAGGAGTGGTAACCTCTTGCGTTGTTTCCGGCTCAGTTAGAGTAATTTGTTCTGGAGTTGTTTGTTTTGGCGTGGTGGGAAAATCAGGAGTGGTAGCCTCTTGCGTTGTTTCCGGCTCTTTTGGGGTAGTTTGTTCTGGAGTTGTTGGTTTTGGAGTGGCAGAAGATTTAGAAGTGGTATGCTTCTGAGTCGTTTCCGGCTCTACTGGAGAAATTATTCTGTGGGTTGTTGTTTTTGCAGTTGTAGGATAATCAAAAGTGGTAGGCTCTAGCGTGGTTTCCGGTTCTGACTGAGTTGTTTGTTTTCGGGTCGTGTGTGTTGTAGCAGGAGTGGTAGGAGGTTCCAATATTTCCTTACACTCAAATCCTGCTGGAGTTTCTGTGCACAACTGATCTTCTAAACACCACCCAAAACAAGGATCTGTGTATAAATGGAAATTGTAAAGATTTTTCAAAGAAAGTAAGTAAGAGAGAGAAAGAGATAGAGATAGAGAGAGAGAGAGAGAGAGAGACATAGATATGCAGAGACATAGAGAAAGAGAGAGAGAGAGAGAGAGAGAGAAAATGAAAGCGTTAGATATATATATATATATATATATGTATGTATGTATGTATGTAATAGAGAGATAAATCACTTTTTGACAAATTCACATGTTCATTCATTATTTAATGTTACCCCTTTCTTTTAATCAGTGAATAAACTTCAGATGTCCAGTATCTAAGTTTTAAACCTGAAAAATGAACTTATCAAATAAATTGCCAAGCTTGTCATTTTCTAAAGTAATAGTCAATGCTTCGTCCGTAGTAATAACGTATTTGTGAAAGCAGAAGATAAGCGTCTGTCATGTATAATGATATGTTTATTTATATATGTATATAACCTTGCGCAGAGGAGAAAGTTACATGCATACAAGAAAAGTATAACTGAGAGTGATAATAACCCACCATTTTTACAACATTTCCAAAGATAAGGAAATTCATGTTTTTCATCAGATTAGAGCTTTTACTAAACATCGCCAGAAAGGGATAATAATTTGACAATAATTATGCTAGTCTAGGAATAATACATTTAGTCAGAATCTCCAGTACGTCATTTACCCGTGTAATATCTATTATTATATATTTTGAACAGAAAGTCATTTATTGCAATTGGTTGGTGATAAAGTGATTTAGAGAGGTTATTGACGAAGATGCATTACCTGGACATGGAACTGTGCCTGGTGCTACCGGCGCGATACAAGTACATTGGTTAAGTTCACATCTCTCTCTTCCAGATTCACATTCAGGAACACAGGTCGATCCTATAGTAAATGAAAATGATAATAATAATTTATTTCACAGATAGTATAGATATAATGACTGCTATGAGAGGAATATTTGTTTTTATAGGCTCAAGGGGACGTTACCTCCTGCCATCACCCTGAGGTTTGCCGAAGGGTGAGAGCAATTCCATTTCTAACAAAGTATACATGTCATTTTAATAAATACTATGCGGAATTTACACAAAACATTATTACATTTGAAATAAAGATTGAATAGGATGTCTATTTAGACGTTTTACTTCTAATTGGTGACCATTTGTCCCCCGTGATCCCATTTTCTTATGTTAATTGAGAGCTTATTTGATGAGATAACCACCTGTCAGTGACCATGCTGGAAGGTATAATTCCCCGGGCCAAACTAGTGCCGTGGGGTTTTAAATTATGATGCTTATAAAATAAAATAAAATAAAAGATGATATATCAGAAAAAAGAAGAAAAAAAGTTATTGATTCCACTTTCAATACCTCTATCGTGACTGGAATTAAACTCTGTGTCATTTCATTCTTATTTAAAAGGAAGAAAAGCAACAAGATGTCATTGTTTTCTTATTTAAATTACGTAATTAAGAATTGATTCAACGTTGTGAATTCCTACGAGTAAAAATGAAATTATTCCAAAGTATATTGATTATAAATATACAAATTAAATAGTTCAAATTACAACAAGTAATTTTGACTAAATTCAACGATGCAACTTTTATTAGAAACATTGAGATTGTACCGAAGACTATCAATCAAAATTAAATGAAAAAAAAAAAAACAGGGGTGCACTCATATTTCTGTTTCAATACTTTTATATAGACTCGATTCAACGTTGTGTCCTCCGATTAGATTATTCCAAATCATATTTATTACGAATCTAGAAATAAAATTAATGTATACAATTCCTATTTAAAAAAAAAGCATTTCGATTGAATTCGAATTCAACAATGTTACTTCAAATTATAAAATTGAGATTATACCAAAGACTTTAAGTTAAAGAAAAATATATGCGCTCCTTTTTTTGGTTTCAATACAGTCACTTAGACTGAATTTAACTTTTTGATTTACCAGGAGTAAGATTGAGGTTATTCCAAAGACTATTTATTACACATTTACAAATAAATGAATTGATACATTTCCTATTGCATCAAGTAATTTTGGCTTAACTATATGTTTTGATTCTTCTTAGCAGGATTGAGATTATACTGAAGACTATTACTAACAAAAAAACAATCTCTTATTTCTGTTTCAACACAATCATGTAGACTCGAGTCAACGTTTTGAGTTTCTAAAAGTAAAACTAAGATTATTCCAAATACTATCAATTACAAACAAATGCATTTCTATTTGTTTCACCCAATTTTCAAAATTTCCCAAGACTTTGTATTACCTATAAAAAAAAAAGAAAGGAAGAAAAAAATACCGGATAAATAAACTTACGAGTAGTTTGTTCTGCGGTTGTTTGTGGTGAGGTTGGTGTGGAAGGAAGATCATAAGTGGTAGGCCCTTGTGTTGTTTTTGGCATTGTTGAAGTAGTCTGGTGCGGTGTCGTTTGTGTTTGAGTGGTTGGAGTATCTGAAGTGGTAGGCTCCTGGGTTGTTTGCAGCTCTGTTGGAGTAGTATGTAGTGGGGTCGTTGGTTTTGGAGTGGAAAGAGAATCAGAAGTAGTCGACTCGTTTGTTGTTTCCGGCTCAGTCGGAGTAGTTTGTTCTTGAGTCGTTGGTGTTGCAGTAGGAGGGGTTGGAGAAGCAGAAGTAGTAGGCTCCTGAGTCGTTTCTGGCTCTGTTGGAGGGGTTTGTTTTGGGGTAGCCTCTGATGTAGTTGGAGTGGTTGGAGAATCAGAAGTGGTAGGCTCCTGAGTCGTTTCCGGCTCTGTTGGAGTAGTTTGTTCTTGGGTAGCCTCTGATGTAGTTAGAGTCGTTGGAGAATCAGAAGTGATAGGCTCCTGAGTCGTTTCTGGGTCTGTTGGAGTTGTTTGTTCTGGGGTAGCTTCTAATGTAGTTAAAGTGGTTGGAGAATCAGAAGTGATAGGCGCCTGAGTCGTTTCTGGGTGTGTTGGAGTTGTTTGTTCTGGGGTAGCCTCTGATGTAGTTGGAGTGGTTGGAGAATCAGAAGTGGTAGGCTCCTGAGTCGTTTCTCGGTCTGTTGGAGTAGTTTGTTCTGGGGTAGCTTCTGATGTAGTTAAAGTGGTTGGGGGCTCCTGAGTCGTTTCCGGCTCTGTTGGAGTTGTTTGTTCAGGGGTTGTTAGTTTTTGAGTGGTTGGAGAATCAGAAGTGGTAGGCTCTTGCGTTGTTTCCGGCTCTGTTGGAGTAGTTTGTTCAGGGGTCGTTAGTTTTGGCGTGGTAGAATAATCAGAAGTGGTAGGCTCTTCCGTGGTTTCCGGCTCTGTTGGAGTAGTTTGTTCAGGGGTTGTTAGTTTTGGCGTGGTGGGAGAATCAGAAGTGGTAGGCTCTTGTGTTGTTTCCGGCTCTGTTGGAGTAGTTTGTTCAGGGGTTGTTGGTTGTGGAGTGGTAGGAGTATCAGAAGTGGTAGGCTCTTGCGTTGTTTCTGGCTCTGTTGGAGTAGTTTGTTCAGGGGTTGTTAGTTTTGGCGGGGTGGGAGAATCAGAAGTGGTAGGTTCTTCCGTGGTTTCCGGCTCTGTTGGAGTAGTTTGTTCAGGGGTTGTTAGTTTTGGCGTGGTAGGAGAATCAGAAGTGGTAGGCTCTTGCGTTGTTTCCGGCTCTGTTGGAGTAGTTTGTTCAGGGGTTGTTAGTTTCGGAGTAGTAGAATAATCAGAAGTGGTAGGCTCTTGAGTCGTTTCCGGCTCTGTTAGAGTAGTTTGTTTAGGGGTTGCTTCTGATGTAGTTAAAGTGGTTTGAGAATCATAAGTGGTAGGCTCCTGAGTCGTTTCTGGATCTGTTGGAGTTGTTTGTTCTGGGGTAGCTTCTGATGTAGTTTGAGTGGTTGGAGAATCAGAAGTGGTAGGCTCCTGAGTCGTCTCTGGTTGTGTTGGAGTTGTTTGTTCTGGGGTAGCCTCTGATGTAGTTGGCGTGGTAGGAGTATCAGAAGTGGTAGGCTCCTGAGTCGTTTCCGGCTCTGTTGGAGTAGTTTGTTCAGGGGTTGTTGGTCGTGGAGTGGTAGGAGTATCAGAAGTGAATGGCTCTTCCGTGGTTTCCGGCTCTGTTGGAGTAGTTTGTTCAGGGGTTGTTAATTTTGGCGTGGTAGGAGTATCAGAAGTGGTAGGCTCTTGCGTAGTTTCCTGCTCTGTTGGAGTAGTTTGTTCTGGAGTTGTCGGTTTTGGAGTGGTAGGAGAAACAGAAGTCGTAGGCTCCTGTGTTGTTTCAGGCTCTACTGGAGAAATTATTCTGTGGGTTGTTGTTTTTGCAGTGGTAGGATAATCAAAAGTTGTAGGTTCCTGTGTTGTTTCCGGTTCTGACTGAGTTGTTTGTTTTCGGGTCGTGTGTGTTGTAGCAGGAGTGGTAGGAGATTCCAATATTTCCTTACACTCAAATCCTGCCGGAGTTTCTGTGCACAGCTGATCTTCTGAACACCATCCAAAACAAGGATCTGTGTGTATAAATGGAAGTTGTAAAGAAATTTCAAAGAAAGTAAGTAAGAGAGAGAGAGAGAGAGAGAGACGCAGAGACAGACAGACAGTTTGAGAGAGAAAGTAAAAGCGTTATATAGATATATTTATATATATATGTTATTGAGAGATGAACCACTTTTTGACAAATTTTCATTCATTATTGAATTTTAACCATTTATTTTAATCAGTGAGTAAATTTCAGATGTCTAGTATCTAGGATCTAAACCTGAAATACGAACTTATCAAATAAATTGCCAATCTTGTCATTTTCTAAATTAATATTTGATGGTTCGTTTGTAAGAATAAAGTAGATGTGAAAGCAGAAGATAAGCGTCTGCCTTAAAAATATTTTTATTTATATATGTATATATAACCTTGCGCAGAGGAGAAAATTACATGCATACAAGAAAAATATTACTGAGAGTGTTAATAGCCAATTTTTTTTACAACATTTCCAAAGATATGGAAATTCGTGTTTTTCGTCAGATTAGAGCATTTCCTAAACATCGCCAGAAGGGAATAACGATTTGAAAATAATTATACTAGTATAGGGTTTGAGTCAAAAGCTCTATTACGTAATCTACTCGCAATAACTATTATTATATATCTTGAACAGAAAGTCATTTGTTAAAATTGGGTTGGTGATAAAGTGATTTGAAGAGGTTATTGACTGAGATACATTACCTGGACATGGAGCTGTGCCCGGTGCCACCGGCGCGATACAAATACATTGGTTTAGTTCACATCTCTCTCTTCCAGATGTACATTCAGGAACACAGGTAGATGCTATATTAAATCAAAATAATAATAATAATAATAATAATGATAATAATTATGATTTGTGTTATCAAAATGTTATTAAATACAAATAATACAATAAGCACAACTACAAATCCTGTATCAATTATACACATTTATTGTATACAATTGTAACAATTGTATACAATTGTAAAGCCTGCATAACTTAAGAGTAAATATTTGTTTATTATCACAGATAGTTAAAATTATTTTTCGACATTTCACTTTACACTATGTGTATGTCTGGAAGGTTGGATCAGGCTAATTCACATAGAGGTACGTGTATTACAGTTGGCTTTCTCTAAACTCGTATAGGTCTACGTTCACAGACATCCCGTAGAAACGCGTCGTATCTTTAACATTATTTTCAATTTCTATTCATCTATTTAATTGAATTTCTCACTATGTCATTTTAATAAATAATATGCGGAATATACACAACATATTATTACATTTGGAATAAAGAGGGAATGGGATGTCCAAGAAGTTATACTTCAAATTATTTCTATGCTCTCACTCTATTTCAATCTTTCACAATCATGACAATATCACCTCCTAAACTGCCTAACAAATTAACGAATTCAGATTTTCAAGAAAAAAGGTTATTGCGAATTTGTGTATTTCATCTGTGTTAATGTAATCTAACTCACTTGAATTATGATGCTTTAAAAATATTTGTAAAAGATAACATTTGAGAAAGAAAAAATATATTGATTCCGCTTTCAACACTTTCATTGTGACTTGTTTTTTAAACGTTTTGTCATTTCATTTGCAAGAGATTGAG